TATTATTCTGATATAACAATAAAATATCTTGGTTTGCCACTTATTGATTTATGCAGTACAGATATTAGCAAATATTTTTTCACTATTGCAGACTTTATTGATGAAGCTATTTCTTCTGGAGGTAACAAAAGAAATTTAATAAAAGAAAGGAAATATTATATGATAATATTTTAAAATACTATCTAAAATCTTATCTAAATTAAATTTCTCTTTATTATAGGTAAAGTGTTTGTTCATTGTATGTTAGGAATTTCACGTAGTGCAACATGTGTGTTAGCATATTTAATGATTAAAAAAGAAATGTTAGCAACAGATGCAATTCGTACAGTCCGCAAAAATCGTTTTATTCAACCAAATAGTGGCTTTCTTAATCAATTAGCAAAATTAGATAATCATTTACGAAGACAACGATTACAAGTATAGATTTAATGAGGATTAAAGATATATTTCTATGAGATTTTACAAGATTTATCCGCAGTATATAATGCATAGAATTTTATTAATATATATTGTATATAAATAATTGTATATAAAAATTGAATATAATCAAACTGTTTATCAATACATTATTATCTGTTTATAAATTCTAAAGTTTTATTGTTTGACATTATATATTACACATAAAATTTATTGTAAATTATTTCAAAATTTATATTTTATGCGTAATCCATATTTTAATATCATCATGTAATCTAAATTTTATTTATTTACAAATTTCATTAAATTTATGAAGTATAATATTCTACAAGATTGCGATTACATGTTTGTGATGTAAAATTTTATATATACAATATTACATCACACTTCTTAGAATTCATCTTTTATTTGATGAATTTGTTTAATAAATTATAAAATTGATAAAATGTAATACTGTAAAAACATGTTGATTTCATTATTCTTAATAACTATTATTAATTTACAACTCGTGGTCGTTTGGAATGGGATTCTTTAAGAGTAGATGAATGATTTGGGGAACCTATTTCATTTATATTTTCTATATCCTGTGGACCGCTACGTTTTCTTGCCTTTGGAGATAATTGTTTTAAACATTCCATATCATTAAATATAACTTGTGCACCTCCTCCACTAGTAGGTATTATATCGCCCTATCATCATAATATCATATTTTATAACATCATATAATAATATACTTTTTTTGGATTCGTTCAAAATAAAATTACCTTGAATAATTTTGTCTCAAGTTCACCATCTGTATCATGTTCTTGCGCAACAAGACAATATCTGGATACACCATCTGTAATTTCTTTTGGATCTGTAAGTCGTGTAACGCTACGTCTTCTATGCATTAAAGGTTGAAGAACAGTTCCTATAGGAACAAGTGCTCCTGGTCTATGATCAACCCATCTATCAGCACTTTGTGAACGTCTATATCTTAAATTTGCTGTAGCTGCTTTATCCTGTTAATAAAATATATTTAAAATATATATTCAAAAAAATTACATTCATATAAAATAGAAAAAACTAACTCTTCGTGATCGACAATCTGTTCCTTTTGTTGTTTGTTGTATATAATTAGAAGTAGGAGTCACATAATCTTTGGAAATACTAGGTACAGAATTAATACCGTTATCATCAACTAAGATTTGTTTTACCAATCTTAATTTATCATCTTTTTCCTTCATTTGATTCTAAACAAAAAAATTTTAAATATAAAATTTGAAAATGAAATTAATATAATATATTGATTATATGAATTTATATATTCATTTCTTTTATTTTACCTGTAATTGTTCACGTTGTTGACGTAATTTTATTTCTAATTCCTTATTCATTTTATCAGTTTCTACTTGCATTTTAGTGTTGTATTTTTGTTTTACCCTTTGTTTATCTATTAAACGTTGATTTAATGCCATATTTCTATCTTTCAACTGCAAAATATTGAAATCAATTGTAAAATATAATAAAATATGCAATTATTTACACAGAAAAGAAAAATACATTCATTAATTACCTCATGTTGTAAACTACGTATTGTGTCATTTGCATGATTTAATTTTCGAAGCAAACTATCAATTTGTTCTTCAGTTTTACATAAATGACCTTCTAATGCAGAAATCTAAAAGCAAATATAAATTTTTTTTTGTGTGCTTCCCATAATCAAAAAAATATTCTTACCTTTTTATTTTGTTGTGAATTGGCTGCTTTTAAAGATGCATTTTCAATCTTTAAATTCATATGATCTTGTTCCATTGTCATTAACATTTTTCTAAGATCATTTTCTGCAAATGCAATCAAATAAAAATTATACATATTTTAAACTTCATTAAAAGATAGATATATTCTTACGTTTTTGTTGTAAATCAGTACGTAATATATTCCGTTTATTAATGCGCTGTTCCAAAAAATGCATTAAATTAGTAATGATTTGATCATTACGTGGAGAACTAATCTCCAATTCAGGAAATGGACCGCCCAAACTGAATTAAAATAAAATTAAGTAAGTAAAAAGAAAAAATAAAAAAAAATATAATGCTTACCTATACACTAAACCAACATCAATTTCTAAATCACCAGCTTCAAGACGTCCTTCTTTTTGCAATTTACTACGTGCCTCCTTAAACAACTATTAAAAATTTAAATTATATATTATATAAATTTAATTATATTTTTATTCTTTTATTATTTATCTTACCTTATTTGCCTGTCTTCTTCCAGGCGTAAAACCAAAATCTATTTTCGTAACTGTTGGTCTAGCTACTTGAACTTCTTGTGTCATTTCCGCAAATTTCATTACTTGCTAAAATATGAATAAATTTATTTATTTTGACTTATATATTTATATTTCATATTATTGCTTTGTTTCTTACAATTGTTTCATCATAATCATCTGTTCTTGGATTAACACAGACAATCATTCTCACTTGTCCTTCTCCATCAAAGTAATTTTTAAATAAATGGGTAAGTTTTGAATCTCTATAGGGTACCATTTTATTTGTGCTTTGAAGTTGATTCTCTCTTAAAATTTCTAAACACGATCGTAGTGTCATCAAAGAATTATTAATATTCCCTAAATTAAAACAGATGAAAATAATTATAAAAATAATTATAAAAATAATATTAAATATTTAAACATTATTATTAAACATTATATTAAATATTTAATTGTAAGATTCATATTTGAAATATAATTACCTGCTTCTCTCAATCGTTGTCCCGTATTTTTGGTCCTATTAGTTCTTTCACTACCAGCTAAATCCACTAATGATAACTGAGTAATACATACCACTCGTTTATCTTGTATAACTTGTTCACCTTCACAATCTAAAGGTGCCTATAAAAAAATCTGTTATTATTTGTAAATATTAATTATATAAAAGAAAGATAATTAAAAATTTTACTTGAACAAGACGAATAGTGAAAACACTATGTGATCTACTTGATTCTGCATTAAGTGCAGTATGAGCAACTCTTCGTCTTCGCTGACCACGCTGAAATATTTCAAATGCTTCATCTGAACTTTTTACTTCAATTTCTGTTACAGCATGTACATACATATTCTTATTTCCATCTTCTCTAACTATTTTACTCTGTAATGTTCTAAAAATTATCTTTTAACATTATAATATTACTTGAAATTAAATATAATAAAATTAAAAATGAATATATATCATTATACTTAGTTCTAATATCTTCATCTTCTAATAAATCATATACACTATTATTATAAATTTCAACATAAGTAACAAATACAGCATAGACATTATCTTGATCTACTTGTATTGTTTCTGATTCCTCAATGTCATGAATTATTGGATTACTATCACCATCACTTTCTATTTTACGTCTATAAAAAAACATTAACAAAAATTAATAAAAATGTTTATCTTAAGTATATTAAGTATTAAGTATATCATCCATACTTACAATTTGCCTGATTTTCCATTTCTTTGTGACATAAGCCCAGCATGAAGTTCATTTTGTCTATCAAGCATTGCATCAGCTTCATTTTGTATATCAAAACCATTTAATTTATCTGGTTTAAAAATAAATTTTTTTGTTTGGTAATTAGCAATACTATTAAAAATAACATCAAGACAACGTGGCATTATTCCTGCATCTTGAGATTCGCCAGTCATAGTATATGTTTTACCACTTCCCGTTACACCATATGTAAATAAAAGGCTATTTCTACCACGAATGACATTTTCAACTAATGGAAGGGCAACTATATTAAAAATATCTTTTTGTGTTGCATCTGGTGTAAACACATGACTAAATGTTGTCTGAATTTCTTTATTGCTAGAATTACGAAAATTTGTTGCTGATTCTGGAGGTGTAATAACCACAGTTGTATCAGATGTAACTTTCATACATGATATATCAGTAGGATATTGCATTGGCCTTAAACGACAATAAACTTGCACTGGATCCTTAGATAATATATTATTGCCCCTAGGACGATTTGTTGGTTTACGAGCTGAACCTGGTGGTTTCACGCGTCTAAAATGTTAATATTTCATATATATTATATATAATATTTAATAAATATTAAAAAATTAGATATTGAAAATTAAAAATTTACAAAGTGAAATATAATAATAATAAAATATTAATAATAAAAAAACTTCATATATTTTTGTTTAAAATCAAAAAAGTAATAAGACTTACACAGACTTCATTTTTCTTTTTTTTTCTTTTATAAATCTATTTTTATTTTATTAAAATTAATTCTTTGTTTGAAACTTGTATATATTTCTTAATAGATACAACTTCACAAACTCTAAACCGTTACTCTGCAGTAATATTCAAAATTTAAATCTAGTTATAAAATGGAATGAACAGTGTTACCAACATTTATACAAAAAATATTCTATATATATATACGATTGGTTTATTGAAATACTCTCTTCACCAATAAGAAAAAGGAAAAAAGTGAATATTATAATTTTGTATTCTTATTTACGTTGCATTATACGCACATAATATTGAAATATATTGATTTTCATCAAAATATATAATAGAAAAATAATGAACAAAAATTTATTTTTTGTTAAACAATTTATTTTTTATAATTATTATATTTAATTTTTTATAATATAAATTTATTATATTATTTCTTAGCCTTTTTATCTTTACCAACTTTGGTAACATCATCTGGATTTTCTGCTGCATCTTTTACACGTTTCGCACGAATTCCTACTAATCTAGCATCAGCTCTAGCTTTACGGAGAGTTACATATGCAGAGAATTTTCTTTCTTCTTCAGAAATGACACGTGCTTTAGCTTTAGCTGGTGCTTGGTGTCGTACTGGCATGATTTCTCCTTTAACTTGAGTAGCAAGTTTCATCTCTTCCTCACTAGCATCACCCTTTTTAGGCTTTTATTATAAATAATATTAGTAAATTTAAAATTTGTTTTTTATATCTTTTAATTTTTTATCTTATACTTACTTTCTTTTCATTTAATGGGAAGAGAATCAATTTTGACTTATATTCTTTCAATCTTTGAGCATTTGTTTGCAAAGATTCAACTGATTTATTACGTCTTCTAGGATCTACTGCAATTCCAATAGTCCTAGCAAATCTTTTATTTAAACCACTAGCTTTCAATTCTTCTAATGTAAAACCTTTACCTGCCCTAACTTTTGTATGATAACGGAATGTTGGACAATGAACAACAGGTCTTAAAAGCTTTACAGGTCTTAAAATTTTAAAAGAATATTAAATTATTAAAATTAATAATATAGTTAAAATATGAAATATAATTTATAAAAACTATAAATTTAAAAAATAAAAATAAATTGATTGTTTTTTTATTTACCTTGGTGCGACAGTACGAGCTTTTTTTACACGATTTTGTTTACGACGATATTTTCTGGCAGGTTGATTGAACCATGTTTTGACAAATCTTTGCCAATCTTTATGAAAATGTCCATTAGGAATCATATTATTTCTTTTACCCATGTTGAACTAAAATATATAAATATATTTATTTTCAATATAACAATTTTTTTAATTTAAAGATTTTAAAATATATTTATTAAACTTAAAAAATATATATATTAAATTAGAAATATTACTATTATAAAATGTAAACAAAACATTTAATTTTTTTCATAAATAAAATTTTTATAACTTTAATACTACTTTATAATACTTTTATAGTTATGTACATACATTTTTCTATTAAAATAAATATTTTATTAATTATAAATTAAATATATATGAGAAAAAGTTAACCTAATTAACATAAAATTTCTTTATTTATTCAAAAGAAATTACAATAATATTATTTAATTACACTTCAAAACATAAATAATAAATTTTCTATTGAGTTATAAAATATTACTTTAAGATGTTATATTTTCAATTGGATTTCAAATTTAAAAGATTACTTACGAACTTATTTATACGACACACACCGGAAAAGGAATCAATGGTATCTAACGGAAGTTTTAGTTTTCCATATAATAGTATTTATCAATTGAAATTTAAACTAAAGAACAATAAAATTATATTAACAAAATATTATTTATTGATAAAAATCAAATTTCAAAATCAAATAATTTTATTAAAATAATAATAATATATAATATAATTTCTTTAACATAAATAATAAATATGGCAACTTTCTAGATAATATATAAGTTCAATGTTTTAATTTAAGAATTTTTAAATAAATATTTAAATAATAATAATAATAATTTAAAAAATACTAAAAAATGAAGATTACAGAATCTACATTATATTATAAGAATATTAAGTTTTTTAAAAGTGTCATTCGATATGCTTCAACTGGTATAAATAAATTTTCGGTACAAAATATTTTAATATTCAAAAAATAAATAAAATAAACTTAAGAACTAAAAATTTGGTTATCATTATTAATCATTAATATAATTTGAAATATAATGTATAATATAATGCATTATTATATTATAATAATAATTATTGTAATTGTAGTAATAATAATATGTACTATTATTATTTATTTTTCTAGAATATAGAACTCACAGATGTAATAAAAAAGGAAATAGAAATATATTGGAAAGACAAAATTAATTTAAATAAAAATTATGATGATACAAATAATAAAAAAAAAAATTTTTATATTTTATCAATGTTTCCATATCCTTCTGGAATGCTTCATATGGGTCATATAAGAGTTTATACGATAAGTGATACTATTGCTCATTTCTATAGAATGAAAGGTTTAATTTATAAAATGAAATTTTTTAATTTACAAATATTTTATTATCTCTTATTTAATATCTGAAAGATATTATTCTTTTCTTACTTTAGGATATAATGTTTTGCATCCAATTGGTTGGGATGCATTTGGATTACCTGCTGAAAATGCTGCTATTGAAAAACAAATTAATCCAATTATATGGACATATGATAATATTAAAAACATGAGAAATCAATTAAAATTATTAAATTATTCTTTTGATTGGGATAGAGAAATTACTACTTGTGATCCTGAATATTATAAATTTACACAAGAATTATTTTTAAAACTTTTTGAAAAAGATTTGGTTTATAGGAAGGAATCGTTCGTTAATTGGGATCCTATTGATGAAACCGTATTAGCAGAGGAACAAGTTGATGCTAATAATTGTTCTTGGAGATCAGGTGCTAAAATAGAAAAAAGATTATTAAATCAATGGTTTATTAGGACTACATCATTTGCTAAGTAAATATATAAAAACTGAATTAAATTTTTAAAATATATTATAATGTAATAAGACTAGAAATAATAAATTATAGTTATATATGTAATTTAGATTACACTTATTTGTATATTAATATAATAATAATATTAAATAATACTATATATAATATTAATATAATTAATATTATTACATATTAATATAATTAATTAGGTCATTGCTTGAAGGTTTAAGTGATCCAAAATTGATAGAATGGAGAGATGTTAAAACAATACAAGAAAATTGGATTGGTAAATGTGATGGTATTAGTTTTGAATTACAATTGATAGGAAATATCCCAAATTATCCAAAAACGATAAATGTTTGGACTAATTATCCAGAATTTATTGAATATGCAAAATTTGTTGCAATATCTCCACGTAGTATATTAAATAGACCAGAATACTGTACAGATGTGACAGAAGGAATTAAAATCATGAATGTCAAAGTAGTAAATCCATTTAATGGAAATGAATTACCAATATTTGTAACAGATAAAGTAATATTTCCAAATTTTAGAGATACTTATATTGGTATACCCTCTGCTTCAATGAATGATTTTCAATTTTCTAAAATAGTTGGAATTGAATTTCAACGACATTCAATAGAATGTAAAAGATCAGATATATTATCCAAAGCACAACAGTGGAAAATTGGTGGATATCCTGTTAGTTCAAGATTGCAGGATTGGTTAATATCTAGACAAAGATATTGGGGTACACCAATACCAATTATTTATTGTTCAAATTGTGGTATTCAACCAGTACCATATAATGAACTTCCTGTACTTTTACCAAGTATAACATTTTTAAATAAAACATCTTCAAATAAAAAGATTACATTACATGAAGCTAAAGATTGGTTAAATACTTCTTGTCCTAAATGTGGAATTCAAGCAATTAGAGAATCAGATACAATGGACACATTTGTAGATAGTTCATGGTATTATTTGAGATATATTGATCCAAAAAATATGAAAGAAATGTTTGCTGTTGATAAAGTAAGAGAAATATTTCCTGTTAATTTATATGTGGGTGGAAAAGAACATGGTATATATTTAATTTTTTTATATTTAGATTTTTGTAAATAATATTTAAAATAATAATATTAAAAAATCTCAAATTAATGTATAATTTCAGCTGTATTGCATTTATATTATGCTAGATTTATAAGTCATTTCTTACATTCAAAAGGACTTTTACCTAGCCAAGAACCGTTTCAACGATTACTTGTTCAGGGTATGGTACTAGGAAAAACGTATCGAGTAAAAAGTACAAAAAAATATTTAAAAGCAGATGAAGTAGAAGAAAACAAGGGACAATATGTAGAAAAAAATTCTAAAGAACCAGTCACTGTTTCATGGGAAAAAATGTCTAAATCAAAGCATAATGGTATTGATCCTGTTAAATTTGTAGATAAATATGGAATCGATACAACGAGACTATTTATATTAGCTGATCAAGCACCAATCTCGGATAAATATTGTAATGATAATAGTAAGTTTGTTTTATAATAAATATTCATTCACATAAATTTTCATTATTATATATTAAATAATATATCTATAAAATATAGCTATACCAGGAATACTAAATTGGCAAAATCGCTTATGGAAGACAGTAAAAACTTTTACAGATTATCGTAATGGAGTAAGTTTAAAAAATTTTCAAGCAAAACCTACTGATCCTAAATTTACAGAACACGATGCATATATGTTTGACAGCCGAAATTATTTTTTAAAAACTGTAACTTTTAATATAATTAAAACTCAACAATTAAGTATTGCAATATCAAGAATGCAAGGACTTACAAATAGGTATATATTGTATTTTTATATTATACTAAGAGTTATAATAATTTCAAAAATTTTAATTAATATTAAACTTTTAATTTTTAATATTAAGTTTGCGTAAGGTATCTATAGAATGTATGAAAAAAAGTCGCGAATATGAACGTGCATTAGCAGTTCAAATTATAATGCTTGCACCATTTGCACCGCATTTTGCTTCAGAATTATGGTCGGCATTTTCTGCGGCAAAATATCATCTTATAAATGAGGATGAAATAAAATTAGATAAAGATGTTCTAGAACAAAAATGGCCAGAAATAGATATGAATTATAAAATGAAATTATCAGTCAAGGTAAATTTAAAGTATTTATATTTTTATTTATATGAATTTACATTATATTATTTATGATACAATTATATAACAATTATATTTTATAGAAATAGATATAAATATAGATATTTATAGAAATACTCTAAATTTTTTATATAAATATATCATTAATTGTAATATTTTATATATTATCAGATAAATGGTGTACTGTATACAACAATTAAAATATTCAAATACGAAATAGAAAAATTATCACTTGAGACAGCTCTTAACTTGATAGAGAATGATCCTCTTGTCCAGAAACATTTAAAGAATCATAAGATTCTTGAATCTAAACTTCTTGTAAAGGAAGTCTGTGATCCAGAAATATTAATTTTAACAAAAAAATATGCAGAGATTGTAACAGCATAATAAAAAGAATATAATTTTTTATTAAATGAATTTTTTGTATTAAAGATAAAATATTAAAATATAAAAAATCTATATATATTGAAATTAATTATAATATCTTGTTTATATATTACTAAAATGAGTGAAATTAATATAAATGACTGAAGTTAATATATAATATAAAATAATATAATATAATATAAATAATAAAAAAAATTTATAATGGAAATCAATTTAATAATAAACAATTATTCTTACCCAATATCATATTCTCCCATATATCCATTAGGTGGAATTGTTTCTAAGAATTTAATATAATCGAGTGGTAAATGACTTTCATGTGCACCTTTTATTATTGTTTCTCTAAAAAAATTAATTAATAATTACATAAATGTTAAATAAATTATAAAATTAAATATAAATATAAATATTATATACAAATATAATGGTGAAGGTCTTCTGTGTATTGGTAGTAAATGTAATTTTATATGTTCATCTGGATTTTTGCATTGTTGGTACACTCTGCATTTTAATATTTTACCAGTAACCGTTTCTATATCAACTACTAATGGAAAGTATAATTTATCTGCAACACCTTCTTGATTGTCTAAAGTACACATATTACATTCATCTAATTCCCAAATTGCTCCCCATACAACATAATCTTTTGTGGGTACAATTGTTGCTGAGCATCCACCCCATCTTTTTGAATGTGTTAAAAAATCTAGTCTGAAATTCTGATATAATTCAATATTTGCATAAAATATAATAATTTATAAAAATATAAACACAAAAGACAATGCCACATATTAAATAATAAAATATATTTAGACTGAAATAATAAAATATTATAAAATAATATAAATATCACAAATTAATAACCCAAAAATTTTTTCAAGCTATTTATATTTACCTTTAAAAAACCAATATCTTTTCGTATTGCAGTTGGATTATTAATATGTATTCTTTTCATTAACATATTGCTTCCATATGCAAAATATAAAAATTTATTAGACATTTTATCAATTATTTTGTAAAATTTTGTGAAGATTATTGATTGAAACTAACAAATAAATAGGTTAAGATCACTCCTCATTATCAATATTCATTATATCTTCGATATTTGTAAATAAAATATATTCTAATTAAACAGATTATATTTAAACAAAAGTTGTCAAGATATAAGTTGAAAATAAAAAATATATATTCTATTATAACATTATCTAATATTATAATAATTAAAAATATAATTTAATTTTATATATATTTTATATTGTTGCTGATTATTATATTTTATTATAATTATTTCATAATAATTATATTAAAAATTATTTTTAATTAAATATTTAATATTTTGTTCTGCGAATTATAAATATAAATAAAATAATATATTAATTGAAATTATGTTTATATTTAATTAATTATATATAAAATATAAATATTAATTTATATTAATTATAATGATATTATCCAAATTTATAATTTGCATAAACTTCGCGAAACATATCGCGACAATTTATTTTAACTTGAAGTTTGGCACATAGTAAAAAAATTCCTGATAATTTTCTATGTAAACTATAAATTTCTTCAGGTGGAGGGCATAACCTGTGATCTATTATTGTTGGAACTAATGTTTGAATTCTGCAATCAATATATATGTACATTAATTTTATAAATTTTTATTTTAATAATAAATTAATTTTACCTTTTAGTTACATCTTGTCCACCAAAGTCATAGTATTTATAATTTTTATCAAATACTTGTCCCAAAACCATTACTGCATCTACATGAGCTTCTTCCATAAGCTGAAATTAATGCAATATAATAAATAAATAAATATCGATTTAATAATCTATTTCGAATTTGTTAGAAAATATTATGTTATACTTTAGATTCATATCCTGTAAGAAATCCCATGTCTCTAGATAAATTTAAAATTTTTTTACGATCACCTTCACTTGCAGCATAAATTACTTCAATATATTTATCCATAAATGATTTCTCATAATCTCGACATGCACCAAAATCTAATAATATTAACTAAAAATTGTATTAATATTATAAATTAATATTACAAATTTATTAATAATATGTATTAATAATAATGTATTAACTTCTTAATAATATCTTATATACTTGTCTTGTATTAGTATTGTAAAGAAAATTAGACCAATTTGGATCAGTTTGCATATATCGAAAAACAAATAATTCCTTAAGGCACAAATTCATTATTAATTTACAGATATGTTCCTTTGTGTCCATATCCATAGTAGTACATTTATCTACTGGAATTCCTTCTACCATTTCAGTTGTAAAAATTTGATTTGTTGACAATTCGTCTAAATTAAATTATTACTAAATTAAATTATTACTTCTATATTTATATTATTCATTTTTAATTTATATTGTTCAATTCATTTACCAATTACAGTTGGAACATAATAATCTGAATAAGGTTCCATTAATTTTTTATATTTTCTAGTACATTCTGCTTCTCTGATATAATCTACTTCCCATGCAAGTTCACGTTTTGCAACTTCTACTAAATTATCTATAAACATACCTTTTGGAAAAATATTCCAAACCTATAAAAGTTTTTTCATTAAATATATTTTTTATAATCTAAAATGAAATCAAAATTAAAAGTTTTGATACCTTCATTATGCCTATTAAATTTTCAACATCACTTTGAATACCCATAGCTACACCAGGATATTGAATTTTAATTGCAACATCCTGTCCATTTAACAAGGTACCATGATGTACTTGACCTACAATATTTTTTTACATAAAGAATATTTTTTTAAAAATATTTGTATATTATTTTTGAAAAAAAAGAATATTTTTAATAAAAAAAAAGAAAAATATAATTTTTAATTAAAAAAAATTAATTACCAATAGAAGCTGCAGCAAATGGTTTATCTTCAAAAGTACTTAATTTAGTTCTCCAATCATGTCCAAGTTCAGTACTTAATACTTTCTCAACTTGCCATGTTGGCATGAAATCTGCACTTTGTCTAACTCGTTCAAATACTTTTTGTAATTCAGGATTTATAATGGTTTCATCTTGTATACTTAAAATTTGTCCAATTTTTAAAGCAGCGCCTATTATAAATATATGTAAAACATGTAATCATTAATTGACAAAAAATGCAATAAAGATATTCAGAATATTTACCTCTTACTTTACATAAAGTAGAAACTATTCTTTCTGCATTTGCTTTAGTAAGAAAAAGAGTATCAAATGTGTTTCCAAGACTTTGTTTTTTTAATCCAAATGTTCTGCGTGTGTATTCTGCAACAGTTCCAACACCAAGTCCAATTCCTAATGTTCCAAAGCTCATCATTCTTTGTAATCTGGTAGCTGGAACTTTTTGAGCTTTTGCATTAGGTGAAAGCTTTAAAATAAAAATTTATTAATTTATTTATATATAAAATATTATATAATTATATAAATATATTAAATTATATAATTTAATATATTATAAATATATATTATAAATATAAATTATATATAAATTATATAATTTAATATAATTATTTAAATATAAAAATATAAAGGATCTTACAGTTTTTTTTGGTCTAACAGATGGTTTTAATTTAACTTGAGAATTATTTGAAGTTATTTTTGTATTTTCTATTTTAATAACTTCAGCATCAATTTTTGATTCATTTGATATATCTTGTTTCATGTTTTGACTTTTTATATTTTTTTCATGTTCTAATTCTAATTTCTTCAATATTGCTTTATCTTTTTCAGAAAGTACAATTTTAGGTATTTCATTTTCTAATTTGGAAATGGTTTCAATTTTTTCTTTTACAGTTAAATATTTTTTCATAGGTTTATCCTGTGTATTTTCATTTGTGTAATTATTTTCAGAATTATATTTCATTTTTGAAATATCCATTTCTATTGTTATTTCTTTTGGATCTTTAGCAAGATTATAAATATATAACTTAGTTTTTTTAGTTTTTATCGGTATCTCAACATCTAATGACAATCCTGTGATTTCTTTAGTTTTTAATTTTATAAATTCTATTATACCCTTTTCAATAACATTTAATCGTTCTACAATTTCTTTAAATTCTTTTGTTATTTGAAGCTATAAATTACAATTAAATTATTATTAATTTATAAAATTAATTTATATTAATAATCGCAATATAACAAGCAATTATTATTTAAAGATATTTTATATTTCATATTTTTATTTATTATGTTTATATTTATTTATATCTTATATTTTAAAAAGATATATATATATATAAATTCTATATGATTTCTACTTATTTTTGAAACTTACAGGAACCTTACTTGGTTCTATATTATTCAATGTTTTTAAATTATTTGTCAGACATCTCTCTGCAGTAATTTTTAAAGATGAAGTCTGTATTAAATGTGTAATTGTCTCTTCTTGATATTTAAGCATAGCATCAGCTACTGTTTTAGCTCCTTTAAATATACCAATGACATCAGACATTCGATGTTGAGACATTTCTGTAATGCAAGTATGAATTAATTGTTAAATATTACTGATATATAATTTGAATAGATGATTTTTATTTTGTACTCATCATGTTTGTCTTTTATTTTTTAATAATTATTATATAATAGATTATTTTGCATAAAATATTTATAAGGAATATTGGAACTTTAGAAAGTTACGTACTTGAATATTAACGTATTTCTATACTGCATATGTTTAAAATAAATACAGACCTTGAAACTTACAAATAGGGTTATATTAGTATTATTTCAATAGAGTCATATGTTAGTATTATTTTGTTACTTATAGATATATTTTATATTAATTAAATATGATTTTTACATAAAAATAATTTTGTTATAATCGATTTTTTGTTTAATATAAATTTTATAACTTTATAATAATTAATTTTTGTGTAATATAATATTTGAACATGTATGAATATGTAGAATATGTATATAATATCAAATATATAATACCTAAAAATAATATATAAAAACATGATACAATTTTTTTACTTTGAATTTTATACTTAAAATCAGGATTGTTTTATACTATTTATTATTTACTTCAATTTGTAAAATGTTATTTAATTATATTGTGTTAAGGTTATAAAAATATTCTGTATTTTTGTAATAATCTTTTCTAAAATTTATTATTATTTTATTATATCATATTTTTTATTAATATTATTAAATTATCATTCGATAACAATAGTCTATTAATTATTAATTAAAAAATAAGATAATTCTACAATTTATTAAAAATATTTAATTTATTATAATATAAAAATATATTTACTTACCTATTTATATATATATTATTAGAAATATATATATATTAAAATATATATATATTTCTAAATATATATATTATTAGAAATATATATATATATTAAAATATATATATATTTCTAAATATATATATTATTAGAAAAATTATAATTTCATAAAATATTATTTTAATAGCATTATTGCTTTAAAATTTTTATAAACAGAAACTGCATTTAATCTCATTATTTTTTTTCAATATCTATATTTATCCACGCCTTATAAGCTCTACAATAATTTTATTTATATACACATTTATATATTTTTCTCGTTGTACTTTTATATAACTAGAAAAACAAAATTTACTTTACAACAAATTATAAACACTTTGAGATGATTTGCAATAAGCTTTTAATAAGTTAAATCTAAACATTTTCTACAAAATTATCATTGATTATAAATTTATTTTGTTTATATATCCTGAGGTAATCTCAATTAATTAAACTAATACACAAAATTATTAGAAATATATAAATAGTAATATTTATAAAAAAATGATATTTATCTTAAGTGTATATTTGATATATATATTTATATGTACTTATTATATATTGTATACAATATTTATATATATATATATATATATAATAATATATATATATATATATATAACATATATACTTGAAAAATTTGTAAAATTTTTTCAAATTGTTTTTCTAAAAATGTTATTTTTAGAATTCTTAATGAAGTTTTCTTTAATATCAATATTCACTAAATATACATGTAAAAAGAGACTACCTCATTAGGTTTGATGATTTTGTTTTGAAAGCATGTATAGAAAGAAAAAAAAATTAACTTTACAATAAGATTGAATAATAAATTTGTTAAAATTATATAACATTTGGTTGATCTGGAATAAGTGAAGCAAAAAATGTACTGAAAAATGTCCATGTAAAAGCAAGTGCACCAGGTCTTTCTTCTTCATGTTCTTCATTTGCATTTGTTCTTGCTTCTGCTTGCACAGTTGGCACTTGACCATTTTGTTGCTGTGGTACAGGTTCAGGACCTATTGCTTCATTCTGTAACATTTGATTATTATTATCTACCCGATCTCCTCTACCATTATTATTTTCAGGTAAAAGAATAGGTTGAACTCGAAAGAAACCACCCTGAAATCTAAAAAACATTCATTCAATTATATTATATTTATATATAAAATACAGAGTATTATAGATAATATTATAGATATGAACTTACAGATACATTGCAAAGCCAAGAAATGTAACAATAAGAAATCTTAGAGGGGATGAATAAAAATATACCATACTAAAAAAAACAATAATTCTGGATAGCATATAAAAAACGTCTAGCCAATCTCTATTAAATGCACCATCTTCTCCAGCACCATTATTTCCTGCATTAACATCAATTTCTTGAACAGCAGGTTGTTGTTGTTCATCACCTACATTATTATTATTATTGTTGTTATTGTTGTTATTGTTGTTATTACTACTATTATTATTTGTGTTATTTGTATATGAATTTTGAACACCATCATTTGTATTGATATTCATTTGTTGAACATATGGAATGCTAGTTTGTAATTGTATTCCTTGTGCTGCTATTCTATAAAAAAAATTTTTCTTTTATTATAATTATTTAAAATTTTTCTTAAAATTAAAAAAAATTGTAAAAATACCACTTACAATTGCATATATTGTGTAAAGTAATGTGTATATGCTTGTTGCATCCAAGCCATTTGTTGACTATTTCGTGGATCAAAATATTGTTGTGTAGAATATAATTGTGCTGGAGTATGTTGCATAGTAATATTATTAATATGTTGACTTTGATTTTGAATACTATTTGTATTATTTAATCTGGTATGTTCTACTGTACTTCTTGCACTAGAAATATTTGTATTTTCTATGATTTGATCAGTTATTTTATTTGTAGATATTTTTTGCGAAGCACAGACTAAATGAACTATATAAGTTTGATCTTCTTGTCCATTACAATGCCTTAATACATCTTTTAAACACATAGAATCATTTAATAATTGTCCTGAATATATGAGTTTCTGGGTTGCTCGTTCCTAAGCAAAATAATTTAATAAAATATAAATATTTATTATAATATTGATTATTTAAAATATAAAATTTTCATTTATTTAATACAAAGAAAAAATTACTAGAAAAAAGAAAAATTTATAATTAAATTATAAATTGAATATATTCTTTTTATGGTAATAACATTTTTAAAAAATATTATAAGTAAAAAAAGTTTATAACTTTTTCTTTTATATAATGATGCTAATAATATGTTACTTTTAAAAATTAAAAAATTAACTTTCATAAAATTTCACATAACTGAATCACTAGTAAATGAAATAAAACTCACTGGTTTACTAGGATAAACATCGGTTAAATGATCTTTTAATTGGCCAACAGTCCATCCAATGTCACAATTTATGATTTGATCTTTAATCTGCTGATTCGGTGCTTTTATTATCACTGTGACAGCAATTCCTTCCATCATTTGTAATGTCTGTTTTTATGTTTCTTATGATCAGCTGTTCTTACTGTCAATCACTTAGATGGGATTAATTAACAATGCTACCGAGGCAGATTAATATAATTTGCGTTTATGAGACTTTATACACTTGCATGTATATGCAATATAATATTGTCTTCTTTGTCAAACTAATTTGCTGATTTACATAAAACTTTCTTGAGAAATAAAAATTACAATAGATTCATAGATAATATAATATAACTTCATAATGAGAACGGATATTTAATGGTAGATATATTTTTATGAGTCACTAAATGAAATCACTTATGTGACGATTTATCATTCGTAGATTACAATTATTTATTCTTTGATAAGAGCTGATCTTCAAGTTACATTTTCTTCGTATTTTATGGCGATATCATAATGCTTGAATCCATGAATGTTACTAACAGTCATGAAAACTGTATCGTAATAATTACAATTTGGCGCCAATGGAGTTGGCAATCGTTATCAGAAAGTCAGCACCTTCGAAATTTTTGAGTTTGAATTTGAATTGAATAAAGTTTAAATGTAATGAAATGTGAGCAATATTTCACTTGTTTCATTAACTGTTTTTCTTATTAAAACATGTTATTGTTTATTCTTCGTTAAAAAATTGATATTGTAAACATTAAATATTGAAAAATAACATTAATATAAATTAAGCTTATTATTATGTTAACTATTTATTAACCTTAATATTTATTACAATTTTTTAATTATTTATTAATATTATTTGTAATTAAAATTTCATTTTTCATTCAATTAGTGAGTCTAAAATTTTCCTATCTTTGTATGAAGTATTGATACATATTTTATAATTTATAATCTTTTTTAAAATATTTTTTTAATAATCATATATTTTTGTTATCTTGCAGGATTCCTTCAAAATCTGGAAATAATTCTAGGCGATCGTCTGTAAGTAGATAATTATTGAAAAATTTTAATATTTCTATAATGTACAAATAATATTAATATTTGATGATTTTATAATATTTCTTTGTTATGTACTACTATTGCTTTTAATTTTGTCTATTATGCCATGCATTTTGCATTAAAATTATATGGGTTTATTGTGCTCTTTAATTTAATATGCTCAAATAATAACATTTGTTCTTTTGAAAGTTTATTTATATATAATCGTTGTTTTTATAATATACTTAGATACTTAAGCCTCCCAAACCACGTCATCCTCTACAGAACTTAAATTTTAATAATTCATCCAATGAAAATAGTCCTGTTACTACAACAAAAATCAAAAGACGTGTTAGTTTTGCAGAAAAAAAGCATGTCAAGTAAGTTACTTGCTCCTCATATGTTTATTTTTAATGAACTTTCATAATTTTATTTATTTCATTAATACATAATATGAAATTCATTGTGCAGAGAATTTTGTAATTCTTTGGAGCAAGGAACAGTATGGGATAATACATATGAAGAACATGATATAAGTGATGTTAAAATATCATGTTCTTTTCAAAAAGAATATGAATCTAAAAGTATACATAAAGAAAATATTTTTAATAATATTCATGAAAATAATGTGCAATATATTTGTAATGAAACAATAACAAAAGATATAAATATTGAAAGATCTAATTCATATATTATAAATACAATTGAAAAAGAAAATTGTCGAGATGAAATGTTACTAAATGAATCATTAATTATTTTTCATAATGTGGATACTGAAAAAAATGAATCTATTTTCTCACATGATTCACAATTAAAAAATAATAACTGTACATCAAAAAATATTATTGTGTATGAAGATTCTGATAAAAAACTAATTGAACAATCAAATCAGATATCAGATTACTTAGAATCAAATGTATGTAATTTTGACAATAATAAATTAAATATCACATCTGATCAAAATATATGTATGGATTTAACTGAAGTTGTTAGCCCTGTTGCAAATTCTATTAATCGTGATGAAACAAAAAAGATGCTTAAAAATGCATCAATAGAATTAATAAATGATATTTTACCAAATAAGGAAAACTTTCAACAATTTAATAAATCAAATGTAGAAGAATTTAGTATAACAAATCAAAATAAATCAATGGAAATTACTGTGTCCCAACCATCTGTTATTAAACTTAATAAAAACATTGATAACATAAATACATTTTGTATAGATGACAAAACTAAAAGACTTGATATTTCAATGGAAATAACTTCAGCAATACCAACTTCTTTATGTAATCTACAGTCAAATAATAATGATATAAATTATTATGTTTCTAATTTAATATCATATAATAATGATAATAAGATAACTCCTTTTCATGACATATCAATGAATACTACTAAAGCTATAGAAACAATTATTCATAAATCATCTGACAGATCACCTGTGGTACAAAAAATATCACAATATAACATTACAAAACAAGATGAAGAAACCAAATTATTAAATACATCTATGGAAATTACTAAAATAGTTCCAATTAATATACATTCTGTAATAAAAAATTATGGACCAAATGAAATTAATTTTGATACAGAAACTAATGTTAAAAAGTTAAAATATGATTCAGATATTTATGAAACCTTAACAAATTATGATAAAACAAAATTTTATAATAATGAAGAAATGGAATTTACCACAGCTATAACATCTTTACCTACAATATGTCAAAATAATCTACAGTTATCTATGCAAGATATTTCTTGCACGCAATTAAATTCTTCAAATTCAATATCTAATAATTCTGGAAATCATTCATTGACAAATAAAACTATTATTTTTGATAACAATTCAATGACAGTTACTAAAATAGTACCAACACTTGATAAGAAGAATCAAGACATTATCACAAAACTCTCCCAAAGTGAAATAGATTTTGATATATGTTCTAGTAAGTTTAGACAATCAATATTACCTGATAATTTTGAAAAAAAAAATCTTATAGATATTTCAAACAACAAAGATAATTTGTTAAGAGATAAGAGTACTATAGTAAAAATTTCTTCTTTATTAAACTCAGATATAATTTCAAATGATAATAGGAAAATGAAATGTACCAAAGCTGTAACATCCATAAGTACAGTAGATCAAAATAATTTACAGATACCTCAAGATATTTTATGTACACAATCAAATTCTGCAAATCCAATATCTGATAATTGTAAAAATCATTTATTATTAAATAAAACTATTATTTTTGATGATAATTCAATGATAGTTACTAAAATAATACCAATACTTGATAGAAAACATCAAGATACATTTTTCCAAACTGAAACAGATAATACATGTTCTATTAAAGATAGACAATCAATATTATCTTCTAATATAAAAAAAAGAGATCTTATGAATATCTTAAGCAAAGATAATATAAGAGATAATATTGTAACAATCCCTTCTTCATCAAACTCAGATATAACTTCAAATAATAATGAAAAAATGGAACTTACCACAGCTATAATATCTTCATCTGCATTACATCAAAATAATTTACAAATACCAAATACAATACAAAATATTTCTTGCACACAACCAAATTTTTCAAATTTAATATCTGACAATTGTAAAAATCATTCATTATTAAAAACTAACAAAACTATTATTTTTGATGATAATTCAATGATAATTACTAAAGTAGTACCAATACTTAATAAAAAGCAACAAGATATTATAATAACAGATTCCCAAGAAATAAATTCTGATATATATTCTGCTAAAGTTAGACAGTCTATATTACATAATAGTATAGAAAAAAGTAATTTTACAAATTTCTCAGTTAATATAGATAGTGATGTCTTGAAAAATAATTCCAAACATGTAAATTCTTGTTTATTAAGCACAAATATAGAAAACAATGTTATACAAAGTTCTACTCCAATTAAAGTTCAGGATTTTGTAAATATTAAACCTAGCATGTCTTCGCATGAATCAATGCAGCAACAAACTTTTGCTTCAGCTTTAAAAGAAAATAACACAGAAATAGTTTGTGCTAATGTAACTAATTGTGTATCAAGTAAATCTTTCTCTGCTATAAACTTAGAATTAAATAAAAATGAACACATTAATACAACACAAACAGCTATATCACATCCAAGAAGAACATATACAATTCACTCAAATAGTAATCATACTTTTACAGTAAATAGTAAAAAAGAAAATAACATTTCAGAAATTAACAATGATGTTTCTTATGAATTAAATAATGAAAAAAATAATGCATGTAGCATTTTAAATAATACAAAAGATTTAGAAAATAAAGAAGATTATGATATAAAATATTTAATGAATGGAAAAGATATATTTTTGAATGAAAGTTTGGAAATATTAGAATCAATTAAACCACCTTCATTTGATTGCTTAGATGACTTATCACATATAGATTATTCTACGGATATTATTTGTAATAAAAAAATTGATATAGAAACAAATTGTGTTTCACAAAATGAAAGTGAATTTGAAAATATTTTAAAATTTAAAGATTATCAGAAAAATGAACAAATAGAGAATGAGCATAAATCGCAAACATTTGTAATTAAACGTACATTTTTAAACGATGCATTAGAAAATTCAAATGAAAATAAAATACAAACTAATGAAATTTCAAAATTGGAATTGTTAACTCAGGAAAATACTGATATCGATACTGATAATCGAATTTTAGAATTTTCGTCTTCAACCATAAATAATAGTGAAAATTTCTCTTTAATGCATAATACTGACGAAGATTTTCAGAAATTACACATGGATAATTCTAATTTAGAATGTCTTTTATCAAATGCAAAAGCTATTTATAAAACTTTAAAAGCTGATGACAGTAATAAATTAAATGATACACATATGATGAAAGTAAATAATAAATTTTATTCAAATGAACAATTTCAATCAAATTTGAAATCTCATACTTTTTGTATAGAAGAAGAAAATGTTATAATGAAATCTTTTTCTTCCTTAATGAATGAATTAAAAATTTGTGCAAAAAGGTATTGAGATAGATTAAATATTTTCTATAATTTTATTATTGTATCAAATAATATTTGCAATATTTTTTTTAGTAATGAAATTATTTGGGAAGTATACTATGAAAACATCGAAAGAAACATGTTTATAATTGGTTTTATATCATGTTCATTATTAGTAATAATATTTATACAAAATCCTTGTGAAGAGACAAATGATCAATATATTAAAAAAATTAATATAATTTCTCAATTAGAAGGTAAGTTTAGAAACGCAATTAATGAAAAAAATATTAATTTATATTTAATATAATTTTTTTAAAAATATTATTTTTTTATTAGACGATGCAGATGCATTAATTACTATAGTTCATCGAATAATTCTAGAAAAATTAGATATTAAAAACTTATTGGATTTGTATAAAAATCGTGAAGATATTTTACCGATGTTAGAATACATTTCGAAAGAAGTAAAATTAGCTATGGATTTTATGTTTGATTTGAAACGTTTGAATGATCCAAATTTGATGGAAATAACTCATGATAGGTAAAAATGATTAAAATTACAATATTTTTATATAACTTATACATTTTTTTTTTATTTTAGCATATCTTTCATATCGCAAACTAAAACAGGGAATATTATATTAAAAATTACAATAAACATCAAACCATTTGATAAGATAGAATTTCAAAATATTTCTGTTCATTGTTTAATAGGTTCCGTAAGGTCAGTTGCGAAAGTATTTAATAGATAATAGATTGTTTTAATTTAATTATTATATATTATATTATATATAATTATATATATTATTGTTGTAATTTAATTATTTTTCAGAGAAGAAGATGTTAAAAAATTAATAATAAATGTAAAAAAGGATCATAAGTTCTTACGAAGATATATAAATGATGTGAAAGACTATATATATTTGATGGAAAAATCTGGTAATATGATTTAAAAAAAAATCATATTAGCGTATCTTAAAATGCAATAATTAAATAATGATGTTTAATTTTAAATAATCACGCTAATTGTATTATATTATAATTTAATAATTTTATATATAATCATAATATGAATACATAATTTATATATTTTTTTTAATAATATTTTTTTAATAATATTATATACTTAAAAAAATATTTTTCGTATTTACACATAAATATATGATATATGAAAACGAAAATGTAAAATTACGAGCAAAAGTTGATCAACTAGTTCTCCGATGCCGGTTCAGTCAATGCAGTTTTTTATATAAGTATTTACGGTCCTTTCGATAGTATCGTGTGAACAGCCGGCTTTCATAGAATTACATTACTTTTCTCTTTATTCTTTGTTATTAATTAGCAATGATATATATATTTTTTAAATTGAATAATTTTAAAACTTATAATTTAAAATCTAGTTAAACTAAATCTAGTAAAACTAAGATTTCATTTAATTAATTCTAATTTTCAATTCAATGTAAATTTTATCTCAAATATAAAGAACTATTATATAAATATTATTTTTACAAGAATTATTATCTTCAAAAACATATTTATTAACATTAAAAAAACAAATTAATATTTATATATATTATTCAGTCTTAGATCGTGCTTCATATTTTATAAAAATTTCTTTAAAGAAATCACATTTTCTTTCATCAATAACTTTCATCAATCCTATTTGTGTAGGCGTAAAGGTTCGATTTTACATAATTTCGTAACAGTAATGATTGATTTTCATTATCAAAAAATACTTCATAAAAATCTCGCAAACTTTCAGTGTTTTATTTTCTCCTCATTTAGTATCCATCTTGCAAAATGTATAAATGAAGTTTAATCATATATGAACATCATTTCCGAAATTACTAATAACTATGCTAAATATGTAATCAATTGTAAAGTATTAAATAAAGAAAATCTAAATTTGATAATCAGAAATAATATATTCGTAATTTTTTTTCTTAATATTATTTTTAAAATATAATCTAACATTAAATATTCGAAAATTTTTAAATTTTTTGATTTATTCCTTTAAATAATATCTATTTTATTCTCTCTTCTAAAATCTATATATTTATAATCAAAATATTAAATATAAATTTTAAGTCACAAAAAATTTCGATTTTTTATATGTGTTGGATTTGAAAATACTTACGCAACTTATTGTTAAATTAAACTACAAGTGAATCTTGGCTATTACAATCCAAGTATTCCAAATCAGACAAGAAAGACAAGGTTGACGAGTAACGTCAACGGATAACCTGCAACGGTGATGTTGGTCCAACGATACCTGTTCGGGATTATGAGAACGAGGCGGATAGTTACGGGAGCAACAGCAGCAGCGGTTCAAGTGGGCGTAAGGGCTGGGAGAGAGAACGTCGTCCTGTGTTCCATACATGGCTATGCTATGTGGAAACCGAGAGACACAGAGAGACGGACGTACCGGCAGAGTCCCCACCGTGTGGACGCGGCGGAGGCGACGTTTTCTCGACACGAGTGCCCACCGCATGCTTCATGCACAGTGTGTGCTAGCACGACGTCGTCGTATGATCGTTCTTCTTTTGTGTTTTATGACACTATAATCGATTTAAAATCTAACGTTTTTTCGTAACAGACAGAGGTAGTGTAATTTGATTTAAAAGAACGATAACATGGAAAATTTTGAATAGATTCGATTAGAAAATGCACTTGTGAATATATTCATATATATATTATTGATATGGATATTGCCGCTCCTTTTATCTATTTTAAATAAAAAAAAGTGATAAATAGCGTGGTCCGGAGCTCATAGTTTCGAAGTTTAAGCGGGTCCGCGCCTATGGCCGAGTGACAGTTCTCTTGGTTTGGCGAGCGTGCGATTGGTCCGCTTGTGCTTACTCTCGTTACGTGTGTTGCCTGCGTGCAACAGGCAACGTGGGTTGGATGCGTGAGTGCGCCTGCGTAAGGACTACGACGTATCAGCCGCGTGTGCGTGTGCCGCGCGTGAAGAGAAGCCGCAGGGGCCGCAAAACCCGGATAAAAGAGACACACATTGCTATAGGTATGTGTATATATGTATATATCAACCCTTTGACAATGAATTTTGGAAAAAAAATATAATGTTAGTATCTCTAATCCTTTAGAATCCCTGTTCTGTTGCAATAATACTTTTTTTCTTTATACTTTCATTAATCCGTAGTATTTTTTCAAAATCTTCATTTATTCATTATTAAATTAAATTAAATTGTAATATCTAAATCATAAAGATTTAAATATTAAGAAAAAAATGAGTTTAAATAATTAATATTTCTATAATTAAAGTTTTAATTTTTTATCTGTTTAATACTTTGAATCTTTGGAAAATGCTTAAATAAATATTTTATTGTATGACATATAATATTGTTTTTTGTACCGTAAAATATTAAATTTAATTTTTGACTTATTGTTAAATAAGATATAAATTTGATCTTTCTTTGAAAAAATATTTCAAAATTAAATTTTTTTTTTCAAATTAAGATACTGCTTATGTATTCTTTAAAAATTTGCTAGTGGAAGTTGTAATACAATCGAATTTATAAAGTTCTTTACAATATTCGTCCCCATATCTGTCTCCTGTTTTTCGATGATCGTTTTTAGCATCCCACGAAGACGAAAACCAGTTTCACGTCCGGACACGAACATTGGCGAATCGAAGAAAGAACGAATCGCTCAATCGATGATCATGCTTCTTTCAACGATGTTTCTCCTGGAAAGGTCACTGTCTTTGAACATCGTACAGAGATATTTACGTCCATCATTTATGTCCATTTTGGATCGTTTTCTTTTTAATTTATCTTAAATTTCAGTTTTTTTTTTTTTGATTTCTTAATGATTAATAATTGAATTATTTTTATCGTTGAAAAAACTTGTTAAAATACTATAGCTTTGTCTTTTAGTGCATCTAAGAGCCTGTTCCATGTTTTATTTTATTTAATGAATTTCAATCATTTCCATAGTCTTTCTTTCTCAAAGAATAGAATAGAATAGAAAAGAATAGAAAATTTTTATTATATTGTAGATTTGTTTTAATTATTTTTTCATCTATGAGTTTTTTCATTTATGCAGTTTTTTTACACGTTCCAATAGTGCTTTTTCCTTAGCCAACATCCTAAGTCTCTTCCTTCCAAGCGGTGTACGATTTTCGAATTTCTCAAATTGAGATACCATCTTCGGTGGCAAAGGTTCATATTTCAATACTTCATTTATAATTTCTGTCGCGAGTAATGGTTTAAACTTCAATGTGATTCTTCGACGAAGATTTAGGATATTTTGTATAGTATTTTTTATGTATCCCAACGGAATGCCCACAGATACTTTTGCCATACTAGAGACATCGATATTGCGATCAATTCCGTAATACTTCATCAGTTCATCTTTATAAAACATGTATAACGTATTGTAGTCCGTGAGAGGAATTATTATGAACTTGTTGTGGATTCTCATGAAGGGTGCTGTTGCTGCATATGGTTCCGTGGCGGTCGTGAGAAATAGAATCTGAAAAATACATTGCGGTCTGATATATCAAATCTTATTTTTTTATTTTTTTTTATTCTTTCGAAAATAATCAAATTTGTTTGTGCGAAAGAATAGTTAATTTTAGACAAGTTTTTTCTTCAAATTGCAACTAAGTGTAGCGTATATCTATATTAATATAGCGTATATCTATATTAATTTTGTATCGTAGGATACAATTCTACGCCAATGAGTAACAGTATCGGTCCGGAATCACCGACACTCTAAATCCTACGTTAACTCGGTACCACCTACGTCCAAATCGTTCGGTAGGAGGTGTTTCATTGATGACCAGCTTCGAACGATCGAGACGTTTGGGAAAGAGAAAGAGGGAAAGTCTCCGACTGGCTTATTGAGGTGGTTCATTCATATCGGAGAAAGAGTCGAAACAGGAATATCAAGAATTTCATAAAGTGGGCGCTACCAGATCACCAACTTTAACATTCCTTACCAGTTTAGGTGAGACACTTGTATATGTAAGCTCGTTCGATTGTGAAATCGAAGTACTCTTTTTTCTGATTTTTTTCTCAAATAAAATTGGATAAAATACGAAAAATGTTATAACATTTATATCCCTATTAAGAAAATTTTTTATCAAATCACCTGATCACCTTTCTTGATATTTTTCACCATTTTAGGGAAGTATCGTGCAAATCGTTTCGGTTTTAGATATATTTCATCCACTGGTACTTTTTTTGCCCAAACTTTTTCACTGTTATCGATGAAAATCACAGAAGGAGCATATGCTCGAGCTAATTTTGAAATCGTGTTGATTAATTTGTGCTCGTTTTTGGGTCCCATAAATTTACCCGCCAATATTGATGGTGACATGTCGAATAACAATGCTCCGACCTATTATAAATTTATTAATATCGGTTTTGAAATTTTTTTAGACACGATTGAAGAAAAAAAAAAAATGTGAAAACCTCAGAACAGATAGCGTTCACCAGAAAGCTCTTTCCTTGATGAGGAAGACCACAGATACAAACGGATTGGATTAATGGCGCGATTTGATGAATTTCTTTTGTACTAAGAGGAAGAATGCAATATTCCATGACTAATTGTTTAACTTCACCCAATCGATGCTTGTAATTTCGAAATTCAAGAATTGCTTCATAATTTTGATACGAACGATCTCCTATCCAATCATTGAGAGAATTGGATGGATAATCTTTAATGATATTAGCTCTGACCAATTCTTTGAAATCTTCTATAAAATCATCAGGTGATGGTGGAGGTTTCTTTCTGGGGGGTGGTCTTCTTCTACCTATTTATTAATTTCATAGAAATATTCAGCGATGTAACATAATTAATTTTAAATATATTGGTTTTTAACAACTATATTGAAAGATTGTTTCAAGTTACTTTCAATTAAAGATTATATATACTATAGTTATAGAAATCTATATGTTTATTGTTATATAACTATAAAAGAAATTATATGATTATATTAATGAATAATATTCGATAGTATCCTATATCTAATATATTTTTCTATAATGCAACTTATTGTAAAATATTATCTTTTATAATTTTTTATTTAATATTATATTAAATATGATTTTAATAATTTACGTTTGTCAATAGGTACGTCAAATCGACGTAAATCAGCCGCATAGTCTTTTTTCAGTGCTGCGTTCAATTTTTGCAATTCCAATCTCATCAACTCATCTACAACCTTTCTTGTTTCCAATTGAAGTTTATAACAGAGTTCATCCGTGATTAAATCATGATATATTTTTTGTTGAAAATCATTTGAATATCGATGACTCCAATCATAGTTATAGCATTGATTAGCTTCATTAAGAAGGGAAAATGCCTTTGTTTCCGGCATCCAATTATTTTTCTTTTTGACTTTTTTCTTTTTGACTTTTTCTGGTGCTTTCTTTTCCATTTCTTTAGCTTTCTTCTCCACCAAATATTCTTGAGGTGTTATAGTTTGTCCGGTAGCGATTAACACACTGCCACCTAAATGTGCAGCTGGGTATACATAGAAATGTCCTAATTCGTCATACCATAAAATGAACCATTCTCGAATTTCATCCGTAATGTCTTCTATTAAACCAGGGCGCTTAATTTTTAGTAACTTAAGCAATAAAATGATAATTTAATTTTTTTTAAATTATTGCAATTAAAATATTAGAGTTAAAATTAGAGTTAAAAATAAAATATATAAGAAACATTTAAATTAAAATATTAGGATAATTTAAAAAAAGATTACTCTTGCTTGTTCTTTCTCTGTTGCTTTTGCAGTTTCATCGGCAAAAACTGACATTAAAGCTAATTTCTTTTCAAAATTTTCCTTATCTTTTTTAAAAACTTCTTGATTTTTCCAACTAGGTATCGTCATGCCTAATAATTCTTCTGTGCGTGCGATTCGATTTTTCAATTTTTTTTTTGCTGCGTATGTTCTCCAGGCTCGCTGTATTGTTTTAACAGCATTAAGATATGTAGCTTTATCTATTTTTTTTGGTATGATTAATCCCATCGCTACATTTTTATGATATTTTTGTTCTTGTATCACTATAATATTGAAAAACTATTATTAGAAAATTATTATTAGAAAACTATTATCAAATAATAATTCATTTATAGAATTTCTACCATTTTGTCCAATAGCACGAGCAACTCTTGCTCTTTCATGAGATTGAATAAGCAACACTGCTTCTAACATGGCTCGTTCAGCTTTTCGAGCTGCTATCTTTTCCGGTGATTCATATAAGATTGGTATTTCATCTGTCGGAGTTTTTTCTCTAAGTCTTCTTCTTCGCAATCTTATGCTTTCCTGAGATGGGGTAAGTTCACTAATATCTATTTCAGAAGGTTCTTTACTCTCATCCTTCACTGATACTATTCAAAATAAAATTTCATATTTTTGATAGATATTTTATTTTATTAATAATTTAATAATATTTATATAAATTTGAGTAATTTCGTAACTTGTTATAGCATCTTCTATCAACTTGTGAATACGTTTTCTACGTTCTTTTACAATATCTTTACCTGCTGCACACACAAGAATTTCCACATCATCTGGCGTATATTTCAGTTGTTTCATAAAGTCATCAGGCCATCTAAACAATTATTAATATATATTTTTCATTTTCAATATAAATTCTATAAAATTCTATAAAATTACTAAACTGATGATCATTATAGTTCAAATTAACGATCTCTTGCTTGTATTCTAACATTCGACCGACAGCACAATCTAGAACCCGTTTTATCAATTCTCTTTTCTGCGTCTGTACCATTTGATCATGGCAAACTATTAGTCTCTTCACTAAATTACGATATCTGAAAACATATTCCATCGATTTCTACCATTTGTAAACAGTTCGTAAGATTATATCTTGGATTAATACTTAAGATAAACTGGAAGAAGTAAATCCAATCCATGTTTTACATCAATTTCCGCTTCCTCAGCTTCTTCTTTCCAACGGGGTGTTTTTTGTAGTTTTTTGTCCAACTCTATCAATTTTTCTAAATCGTTTCGACTGATGAGCCATAATTCTGTATAATAACTATGGGACATTGATTTCAACCGGTTTCACCGATATTAGATTATACGAATTAGATAGATTATTGATTGTTCATATTAAAAGTAGAATTAAAAATTTTGTAGTGATGAAAAATTGGGTTAGTTAAATGATTGTAGTAGTAATAGTATTGAAATGACTGAAAGGACGAAATTCAGTCGATATTCATTGCATCATTATTCATTTCTCTCTTTCGCTCTTTCATTTTACTTTTTTAATATTAAGCATATGAATATATTTATTTATATAAAAGAAATATATCCATAGTATATCTATTTTTATAAATAATGATATATTTCAGAATGCTGTGGACGTCTCGATGCTTACTAATTTTATTGTTAATAACGATAGCGTCTTGTATAGACGCAATAATGGATGGTTTCCTGGAAAATGGAACAACCACCAACGCAATCTCGACGACCATCTTGGCACCGATGGTCACAACTACATCTAATTTAAATAAAACTGAGAGGACGATGGTTAATTTGTCAAATATAAAAAGTATGGACGAAGAAAATATTCAAGATCCATCCCACGCATCCTCACCTTCGTCTGACACAATTTGGGAGTGTCCAAATATTACAAAAGCGGGCGTCGAATGTTCCTGTGACTTTCCACACACGTTAAGATGTACCGGTGATAGAACCGCTTTACAGGTATAATTTTTATATCTATATAGCATTTAATAGCAATTTTTACTGAAATCATATTAAAAACTACTAATAAAATCATATTAAAAAATATTAAAAATACATATAATTTACTCATATTTTGAAATAATTATAACATGATAGTCAAAATTATCGTAGATTTGCTATTTTTCAATATTATCGAGGTCAATGGTTTTTTTAATAATTTAAAAATTTTTTTTAATAATATAAAACGTGGGTGTATAAACGATCAATAAAATATTTTACAAGTTCCATTCATTGTTCAACAAACGGTCTCTCTGTCTTATACATGCTTGTTTTGCGTTGAATGTCCCGTTACCAGTTACTTCGAATATCCAGCCTTACAATACTCCTTTGGGAATCAAATGATTTTCATTATGCAATAGAGAATGTATAATTAAATTTGTCATGAGAGTAACTCGAATGATTTATATTCACATATTATCGTAATAGAATTATATTATAATTATATTGATATTGATTGATTTAATTACTAAGTTGAATTGAATATTAAAAGATAGAAACATTTTTTTTTTACACAGATTATCAGTAAAAAGTTGAAATTTAGTCGCCCAGGAACGATTTCTTTATTGGATGTAACAATAACAGGAATTTCTCTATTACCATCTCGCTTTTTGGAAGATGTTGCCTTGCATGGGCTTGTCATTTCTAGCGGAGAATTGAAACGTATCCATGAAAATGCTTTCGTTGGGCTTATTACACCTCTTCAAGCTCTTGGACTTCCAAATAATCTATTAGATTCTGTACCTACTACAGCTTTATCACATTTGATCGGTTTAGAAAGATTGGATCTGTCTCAGAATAAACTGAAAATGTTGGAAGCTGGCTCTTTTAAGGTAAAATTAAAAAATTCTTAAATATATAATAAATAATCGAAAATAAGATAAATGTGAAAATCAATAATTCATAATATTATACATTAGACATATAAATATTTAAATGTTTCAGGATTTGTCAAATCTAACATATTTAGATTTGTGCGACAATTTATTATCACAACTATCGCCCCAAGCTTTTGCTGCAGTACCTTTATTGCGTTCATTAAGAATGCGTGGAAATCGTTTAAGCGTATCAGCTCTATCAGCATTGAGAGGTCTTAAAAGTTTAGAAGAACTTGATTTGTCTAATAATCTATTATTGGGTCCAATGGGACCAAATCTTCTTCCTCAAATGCCACGATTACGTTTCCTTACTGTTTCTGAAAACGAGTTAATAAATGTACAACAAGGAGCTCTTGTAGGTTTGAGAAACTTAACTTATCTCAGCTTAAGTCATAATCAGGTAATTTAATCTACATAAAAATTAAATATATATAAAAATAAATATAGAGGAAATGTTTGATTTTTTTTGTTTTTATATAGATTGATGTGCTGGAAGATCATTCATTCAAATATTTATCAACTCTTATTAGACTTGATTTAGCAAATAATCGTATTGTTGCGGTATCCAGCGCTTCTTTGGCACATTTGGAAAAATTGACAACTCTTGATTTGACGCATAATTTTTTACGATCTCTGACTGCTGATTTGGTAGTACCATTAAAAAGTCTCCAAGATCTTCGTCTCGATGATAACGATATTACAATGGTAGCCAGCGACGTACCAACATCGAAATTACGACTCACAAGACTTTCTTTGGCAGATAATCCTTTGAATTGTGATTGCACGCTTTTAGAATTTGCCAATTGGTTGAGCAATTCTAGCTTAAACGAAGAAGATAAGTCTTCAGCAGTCTGTGCGACACCACCTGCTTTAGAAAATGGTATACTGACGCAAGTTTCTCCCGGTAATCTTCTTTGTGGTGAGCCGACACCACCAATCATGACCAGATTACCTTTGGCAGGAGCTCAATTAACATTGAAAGAATTCCACTATGATAAATCAACTGGTATTAATCTCCTGTGGCATGTAGAACCGTGTACAGAACGATATACTTGTGATACTTTAATTGTCTATGAAACTATAGGTGATACCGAGAATGAGACAGATTCTAGTTCTCTTCATTGTGATTCACGTATAATGAGAGATCCCTGTTCACTTCCAGTTACCATACCTGCTTCCTTACATTTACAATTAGGCCATAAATATCGTTATTGTGTAGTACTTCTAGTGCCAAATAGTTATGATGATGTCTCCTTAGGTTTGGGTTGTAGTGATGTAATAACTTTAGAAGAATCTAAACGAGAATTACAACAAGATCAAGAAATTGGGAGAAATTTAGAGACTGTCTCTTCTTTAGATACTAGAATAACTGGAGTACATGTAAATGTCTCTGATCAAGGTTTTTTGCATGTCGATGTTACCTTATCAATCTCGAAAAAATCAAATTTACCTGAATGCGAACTATCTGTGGTTGTTTTTGATGCTGAATCTGCAGTGCATAAACAAAAGTTAAATTGTAGCTTAACGTTTGTGACATTAGCTGTATTATTGCCCGGTCGTTATAAAGTTTGTGCAAGTCTTGACGATGTTAATGAAGAAGACGTTATCACAAATTTTATAGATAATCGAGATAGATTACGTTGCGTTGAAGTACAAAAATTCAAACAAAATACAGAGTTAATTGTTTTAACGATAATTGGAGCTAGCTGTGCTCTTTTAATCATAATTGCGATAATTGGTAGAAGCGTTTTAAAAAGGCTGAGACATCCTAGGATACAAACTCAATGTTTCCTACCAGCACAGGAATTTGAAATAACACATAAAGCACATTATATTAAATTACTAGCTACAACAAAAGTTTAAATCATTTTCAAGTACAATTCCATATTTCTGATTCTTGTAAATAATTACAGCTTATTATTGTTATGAATATTTAAAAATGTGGGAATCGAATAATTTATTCGGTTAAAGAATGTATTTGATCTTATTTTATAAGATTATTTCTATGAGCTACTTTCTACTAGTCATAAAATTGATAATTCTAAATAGAATAATAAATAGTAGATCATAAAGAAAAATTTTAAAAATAAATAATAATATAATTAAATCAAATTGAAAAAAGATATGAATTTTAACAATCTAATAATATTTTAAGCATCCAGTTTTTACACTGCCATAATAATTTATTTTAATTAACAATATTTGAATTTAATATTTTATATAAAAAATTATAATAATGTATATTATAATAACGTTAGTTCATATAATTTTAAAATGTATTTTTCATTTAATATTTAAATATATAAAAAAAAAAATGTAAATATTTTTTATAAGTTTCAAGAAGTAAATTCTTAAATTATAAAATTTTTATATCATACAGCATATTTGTTGAATGATTTTTATTGTAATATAAATATTTAGGATATGTTATATTGTGTACAAAAATAATTTTTTAAAATTATAATATTATATATATGAAATTATGATATGCAAAATTAATTTATGAATTAAATGTAAAATATTACCAGATGCAAAAAATAAAAAATAGAAAAATCATAATTTCTCAATTTTTAGATTAAATTTTTTTAATACTTCATAAACATAGAAATACGAAAAAATATTTACAATATATATTTTTAATACTTATATAAATACATACATATATTAAACTCATACTATACTAGTACATAAAGATAGAAAATTAAAATAATAAAGAGAAAATTGTTACGAAAAATTGTTGTTAAAAAAACGATATTGTAGATATATGGATACTATGACACCATCTAACAGCGAACAGATGGAACTAATTGTCATATATAAAAATAGAAAATTATGAATATCTCAACTTATAAACAAAATTTTTTTAATTTTTGAAAGCTTAAATTAAAACTTAAATTCTCAAAAATATTTTAAAATTATATTATAAAATATATCATAATATTTCTCATTTGAGAATTATAAATATCTTCTGATATCTTTATAACACATGTTTTTAATTATCAAACAAAAAAAATATTTAAATATTATTAATTTTTAAGAATTTAAGTTTTAATTTGAATTTTAATTCCAAAATTAAGAAATTATCATCTAATCACTTAGAAAATTATATTTTTCTACTTCTAATTACTTTTATATAACAATTTTATCTGTGAAATTATGATCCATTTTGAAAATTTTCGTTTTTCGTACTTCACATCATTCGTGAACATCACAATGTAATTTATATAAATACGCACGTGATATTCTTAATCAAACTTCATTTCTTTCTTTCTTTTATAATCTTATGGTATGTTTTCATTTTAGTTATGTAATAATAATATTCGTATATTATTTTTTGTTCTGAAATTTTATATATATTCATATAAGCAGGAGGTATTACATATATCTATTTATATATATCATTTGCAGCCATTGAATTATTAAAATAACGAATATGAATAAAAACGAAAAGATTCAGTTATTACGAGATTCAATTACCACTTTTCCTGATTTTCCTAAACCCGGTATTATGTATCGGTAAGAAATAAAATTGTTTTATTTAATAATATTTTTTAATAATTTATATATATTGATTATAATTAATCTTGTTATAATTTAAAAAGTTATATATTTAGAACTTTATTTTTAGTGATATATTTGGTATTTTCCGCAATATTTCCGCAGTGAGAGCAATGAAAGATTTAATAGTGGAACATATTTTATTTCTTGAAGTAGATTTCATAGTTGGTTTAGATTCACGAGGTTTTCTTTTTGGACCTATAATATGCATGGAATTAGGAAAACCATTTTTGCCAATTAGAAAAAAAGGAAAACTCCCAGGAAAGGTTTTTAATCGTTCCTTTAATTTAGAATATGGAGAGGTCAGTAAATAAAATAAAATTCTTTCATTATTAGTTATTTTAATGTAATTTTCAATTTTTAATTTTTCAACATTATGTATTTTATTTTGTTTCTTTTTATCTGATGTAGGATACTTTTGAAATACAAACAGAACAAATAAAACAAGGAAGCCGAGTGCTTATTGTAGATGATTTACTAGCAACAGGAGGTAAGACCATAATAATAAAAAAACAAATTTTATTAAATTTCAAAAAAAATTAGAAAAATAAAATTAAATAGGTACCATGGAAGCTGCAGTAGAATTAGTGAAAGCAGTTGGTGGTGAAGTAATTGAATGTTTAACAATAATTGAATTAATTGGACTAAAGGGAAGAGAAAAACTTAGTGTACCTGTTCACTCATTTATTCAATATGATTCTTAATTCTAAAATAATATACATAAAAAGTATAATTTTATGTTTAAAGACAATATAAAATACAATATTATTATTATTATTCTATCATCATTATTCTATAAACAAAACATTTAAAAAAATATTTTTGTAATATGCAAAAATCTATGTATATGACAATTTTTTATTATAATTCCATATAAAGATAACATATTTTTATATAAAGATATTTTATAATCACAATATTGTAAATACTATACATAAATTTTATAATTATATGTTTTAATAAGTTCTTAAATGATATATGATGTTTTATTATATTTCAATCTTTCACATATTTAAAAAAATATATTAATTTTCTATTATAAAATATATTAAGTATTAATTAGTCTGGATTTTTGAGATCTTAATGAATCTAAAAAACTTTGTACTTCATATTCCAAATTGTCTACATCTTGTTGTAATTGTTGGTAATATTTTCTTTTATCATTTTTTAAATCTACCATATCTTCATTACTTGAAGTTTCTAAATCTAAATGTGGAATATCATGAAATTGATCACAAATACATTTATGTTTAGCTTTGGATATATCTTCTTCTATTGCTTTCAATTCCCAATCCTTATTAAATGTATATTCTTTGAAACATTTCTGTGCTTCTAAAAAAGAAATAAGTTTGAATTTTATATTGTCAAAATTCTTAATAATCTATAGTCTTACCAGATAATCTTATTTGATGAATTTCATCTATAAAAGTTTTTGCTTCATGTTTTAATCTATTTTCTTCTGCAATTTTTGTAGTTATATGATTATATTCACGCATAATTTCTTTTTGTTTTAATTTTTCTAATTCGAAGATAGAAATTTCATCTGTTAAAAATTTTGGAAAATCATTTGTCATAAATGGAGGATATGGTCCTTTAAAAGGCAATGTAATTATTTCATTTCTAAAAAAAATGATGTAGAGTATTTTTTTAATGTATATAAGAAAATATATATAAGAAAACAATATAAAATATCGTTTTTTATGTTTATTAAAGAATATTATTATACCTAAGATAATAACTAGGATGTATTCTTAATGGTATACTATTATCAAGCTTCTGAGCGACTTTTAATAATTCTTGTGCTCCAATATGGCCTTGTTTAATAAAATATTTTTTAATATTTTCTTGCGTTTGCAATGAAGATATGATAATTTCACGAGAACATATACTGTATGCAATAACACTCATTAATAAAAGTGAAGGTTTTTTAAAAGATATTAAATGATCCCATAAAATTAACCATTCAGGACCAGACAAGACTTCACTCATTGCAGTCTTTAAAAGTGGCCATGCATATTCACTGGATGTTATTTTTCGTTCACAAAAAACATTTAATAAAGATGGATCTGCTTGTAGGAGAATATTTTCTATTATACCTAATATATTTAATGGTGGTAAAGGATGATATTCAAACCATTTTTGACAATAGTTTAATAAAATACTCAGAATAAGTTCAAATCCACATAGTAGATTTTTCTATAATAAAAATAAATCAATTAATGTATTTTTGATCTTCTATCTATTTAATCGTAATATTTATTTAATTTATTTATTTTATTACCTGAAAAATCATAAGAAATGGAAAAACTAAGTTTGGTAAAAATGAACATTGTATTAATAAAGGACACCATTGTATTAAACAATTAACTATTGTCATTAATAATATTTTTTTACTTCTACTTGCTAATGGATGATTTTTTAAAATATTTAAAGTAAAATTTATATTGGCAGCTTTATTAGCTAGAGCATTATATGCACTTTTATTGGCTGGCAAATTTAAAATAGTTGACCATATTAATACACGATATTTTTCAGGATATTCTCCAAATTCTTTTAGAATAAGTGTTAATCTTTCTAAACGTAATTCGCGCTTAATACTTTGTCTAACACATTGTAAATGATCACATATTTCATGTGCAACTGGTCTACATGGTTCTATTTTTTGTAAAGATTCACATTTGTCTAAAAATAATTTCTCAGTAATTATGAACTTTAAATGACCCTCTTTTTCTATATATGTTATGTATCTGCCAGTAGGAGAAATTATAATTTTTTTTATTGGTTTAAGAGGTTGTAGAATATTAATAAAGCAAGATTTATTCAGATCAAAAAAATATAAATTGTAAGTTGAAGAAATACAAGCTATTATATTATTTGCTCCACCATCCAAAGGTGATGGTACAAGAGATAAATGTTTTACTCCAATAAAATTATCTGGTAAACTTAAAGTTTTCATTAAATTCCAGTTACATGTATTCAAAATGATAATTTTATTCTGAATATTAACTATAATCATTGCTCTTCCATTTTGTGTAAAGACAAAATCTTTAATATTTCGTATACCAAATATTTTTGCATCAATTTTAATATTATTTCCAAATTGATTGTGATTCCATATTTGAAAATTATCATTATAATACAGTACAGCAATGTGTCCTAAATTTGAGAAACTTGCTTTTTTTATTATACAATTTTTTGTATTAATTTTTAATTGTTGAGCTTTACTACAAGAATGTAAACACCATATTATAACTTCTTTACATGAAAAGGTCAAACAATATTTCTTGTAAAAAGAAATTTGTAATGGTGGTATTTTATGAGCAATTAATAGGCAAAATTGAGAAACATCTATATTTACTTTTAATATTTTTATATCACCTGTAGTAAGACCAACTAATATTTCACATTTATTTATAGGATTACATCCTATAAATGTTGCTATTCCAATATTACCTAATTTTTTATAAGAAGGATAATTATTTGTTAAATCGATGTAATATAAATATCCTGCTGTATCAATTGCAACGAAATATTCTTCATTCCAATCAAATGCTATATGTGCAAAATTAACTCTTGAAAAGCATTGCGATTTTTTAGTTATTTCTGGTTCAAGTTCAAAATTATCATTATCAATTTTTCTTAAATTCTTCCATTTTCTTTTGTACATTCTATTAATTTTTAAAAATAAGTTTTATTATAATATCTACGATTTTTTTTTGGTTATGTTTACATTGAGAAATGTCAAACATGACATTATTTACATTATCTAGATTTGTTTGAAATTTAAAAAAAAAAATGATAGTCAGATTTTTTTATTATTATATAATTATATTAAATTATTTTAAAATTATGTAAAATATTATATATTGAATCATTTTATATATATATATATATATATATATAATATATATATATATATATAATATAGATTAACAAATAATTAAATAATAAATTATAATTGCAAATATTCTTTATAAAAAAGAAAGTTACTCGATATTTCTAAAATGTATAGATATGATATATTATATATTTATGAATTTTCTATTTTGCCGTTTTGAATAAGATACTTTTTTGTTACTTATTACGTCATTAACTAGAGAAATAGAATCTAGACATTTGGATTCTGTGGTTCTTCGGCGAAATGATGGCAGTTGATTTCGTATCAATTAGAAAGTTTTAAAAATTAGTTTCTCTTCAGCGAGAAATAAAAATATTTTAAGTGATCGGTAACGTGATATGTCAGATAATTACAAAATGGTAAAATATATTTTTTATTTATAATCTCATAATAATTGTTTCTTGATATGAACTGATTGTTTTCTAGGTTATATACAACTTGTATTAAAATTTTTTAAAAATAAATGATAAATCATTCTTTGAATTTTAGTTGAAAAAAATAATTACTTTTTATACATTTTTGTTACAATTTTTTTAATAATAAATGGATAAATTATTTTTAAATATTTAATCTATATAATTTAACAAAAAAAAAAATTTGTAAATTTTTTTTTTAATTTTTCATTATTTAAAAGAGAAAGCAAGTTTTTGGTTTTATTTTTATTTAGAAATTAAATTATTCAATCTGATTTTCTTTCTTTGTAGTCTGTTGCTGAGTTTTTAAAGGGCCTGCCTTCTCACAATGAAAATAACTTCGCTAATTTTCATACAGATAGTGGAAACAGAACTTGTGTAAAAAAACCTTCAGTTTATCTTCCTACAAAAGATCATCCTTCAGAACAAAGTAAGAACTTTAGGATATATATTTATAATAATTTTACAATAAGAATAAATATAAATCTAATTATTATTTTCAGTTATAGTTACAGAGAAAACAACCATACTACTAAGGTATCTTCATCAACACTGGGATAAAAATGTATAAAATTATATACATATTTTTAAATAATATTTTCTGTTATATATTTTAAATTTTAAATTTACTTTATTATCAATTATATTTTTTAGCATGCTGATAGAAAACGTGATTTTTTGTCTGCTAATGGTGATTCTGAAGATGATGCTGCTACAGTTCATAGCAAAAGGCCACGTCTTGATTTAAACAATACCATATAAACTGCAACTCAGTTATAATTATAATTTCATTATTATTCACCTACCTACATTTCCATTATTTGCTAAACTAATTTTCATTGTTTATTAAACTATATGATTTTTAAATATTATAAACATATCTACAATTCAGAAAAATTATTTCAAAACGTTGCTTTTTAGATGTTAAATATACACAAATTAAATATTATGTGAATATTACAAATATAGGAAATAACGTTTTCAAATAATGTTTCTTTGGATATGTGAAGTCATTGTAATAAAAACAAGTATTACATTAATTTCATGTTCGTCGCTTTATACTATATTGTATATTTAACATTTGGTTCGAAAAATTTGTATTTAGCATAAATAATAATTGCTCTATACTGCACAATATGTATAGGTGAACGTGTTCATTGTTATTAACAACAAAACATGACTAATGTAACATATGTGCGTTACGATTTAAGAAAAAATTATTAACATTTTATTAATTTAAGATATAATAGAGCATTTATTGAAATAATTTTGTAAATTTGTTTTACAATGCACATGTTTTCAAATCTATATTACATATTTATGTAATAATAAGTTTAATGTACGTCTAATTTACAAAAAATATATTCGATATATTATTCTTAAAATATTAGGTTATATTGATTTTTTTTATCATAGTATCATTATAAGATAAACAAAAAATTTAAAATGAAGATCTTGTCAGTTATGTATATATTTATATTCATGAACATAAGTATTAATTTAATTTACGAAAATAAGTATTATTACTGATCAAAAATATCTTATAAGTTATATGAGAAAAGAAAAATACTTTAATCAATTTTCTTTTTCTAATAAATAAAAAATAATATTATACGTACCATTTTTACACTGTATAAAATATAATAAAATTTAAAAAATTGATTTTAAAGTAAATTGAATTTTTACTTTCAAAAATTTTTTTATTAAAATAAAATTTTACTATTAGTTTTGTTTTCATTATTTCATTCCTTTTCTGACTTTGCCTGGTAAAATTTAAACTATTTAATAATTTAATAATCAAAAATATTTTTTCATAAATTATTAGTAATAAGTTAAATATGAATGTAAAATAAAAATATTTTTTATCTTTACATAAAAATATAAGAAAATTAAAAGTATAATTTTTATTAAAATTGCTAAAGAATAAAATTGTTAATAAAAATATCGAATTTCATAGGCATTTTGCATCTATTATATGACGTCAAAATAAGAATTGGTTACAAGAGAAAGATAGAAAAGAGTTTCTCGATGTATGAAAATCAGTAACATAACTTTAATTATGTATTCCTAATATTTTTTAATAAATTAAATTAACACTTTAATTGTACGAATAAAATTTTTTTTAGAAAAAAATTATGCATTTTTAAAATTGCATTGTAATATAAATTTTAAACAATTTTCTATATATATTTAAAAATAAATCTTTCGTTGAATTATTAATAATTATTAATTATTATAAAGTACATGTGCATTAGAAATTATATTTGAAGTATTTTTTTTTAAATTTGATATATTTCTATATTATTTAAAATCTTTATTTTATTTTTTCTATTGATCTACTTTATGCTTTTAGAATAAATAATTGTTTATTTTTTCAATAATTATTTAAATTTATGAAAAGATTCAATAATTAATAGTTTATGAATTTTTTTGTCAATTTAACTCAAACAGATAAAAATGATAAAGTTTAGAAACAAAATTAATAGAAGTTAAATGGTGAAATGGTAAAATAAAAAAATAATTAAATATTTTATAATTAAGACTAATAATTATTTAATAAATACATATTATAAAATCAATTATTACATATAGTTGTAATTAATCTGTGCATTTCTTATTTTCATCTTCAATAACATACATTTGTAAATTTAGACAATCTGTTTTTATAGTTTTCAATGGAAGTAAATTTTTGTTAGTCATTTCAAAAGCATTTTCATCGATAATCCATGGAAAATCTTCACAATGAGGATTTTCACTTAAAATAATATGTGCAGTTTCATGTGTTTGAATTTCAATGGAGAAGGATGAGTCTTCTGGCAATGGTTTCAAATATGCTTCACACATTGATAATTTCAAACAAATTGTTCTTAATGATTCTTCTGTTTTTAAATAATATGGATCTTTTCTAAAATAAATTTTAAATTAGCTAATAATGTATTATTATTATTATTATTATTAAATTCCTTTAAGGATACATACTCTGTGCTATTTGCTTGTAATTTAATAAAATCAAAAATAAATTTCTCAATTGGCTCTCTTTTTTTATTATAAAAAACTAGATTCACAGCTTTAATGTTATTTTCATTCTCTTTCACTAATTCTCTAATTGCATTTAATACATTTTTTATGTATTCATTAAGCTCAGGATGTTCAGAAATATATACAATTACGCTATAAATTTTTTTTTTTACAAATATTTCTTTGGGATATAAATTTCTAAAAAATAAGATATGATTGAATGCTACTTCTAAAAATTCCAGTAGAATATCAGTAGTAACTGTAAATAAAATATAAATATTTTTAAATTATCTATTAACATTTTATATTTTTATTATTAATAAAATAGATAAAAATATAGAACAATATTTACCTAATTTATCTTCAGACATTTTTTAGAATGTTTTTAAAATGATAAAAATATAATAAATAATTAGAACAAAATATTTAAGCTTACAATTTTAATATTAGCTATTTAATTTTTTTATTGAAAATTTTTTATATATATTATTTAATTAAAGTAACAAATATTAATATTTATGAAATTTTTTTTATGCGTATACAGATATATTTATTACTTATATTTGAGAAAGATTAATGTTTTGATCTTAATATATTATTTTTATTTTTTAAAAATATGTATTAATTTAGATGTAATGAATTACGCAGCGATTGATTTGACGCGCGCCTAGGTCGAAGCCGATTGCATATGGCGGTTAGTGTATACGACAAACAGTTATAGTGTTTTGATGATACTTTTTTATCTGTTCACGGAAGTTATCAATAGATGCTTGCGTTCAATAAGCTCGCGAACGTAATAAAGTTCTTTTACATTCAGATAATGTTGTAAAAGAAAAACAGTACTTTACAATATTCACAGCGGCATCTTTCATAACCTCAACAATCAGGAACATACAGTACTTCTATGTAAGTATACATTATATATTTTCGATATATAAAACTTTACATATCACATGTTAAGTTTCATAATTCAATATTTAATTACGTTTATATCACTAAACTTTCGATAATATTCTTTTTAAAAAATTGATTATTTTAAATGGCACTTTCATTTCATTTTTATTCTGTGATTCTATTGTGATTTTCTTGTGGCGCGAAATGAGACATATATTTGAAATGTATATATTACTCTTAATATGATATTGTTCAACATATCAGTAAAAAACAGTATTTTTTTAAAAATATTAATCTTAATATAAAATTAACATAGAAATATTTTATTTTATTTACAAAAATGTATTATTATTTGTTATAATCTAGGTAAAAATGCCACCAACAAAAAAGACTGATTTAGACAAATTAGCATGGGCTTGGGTGGAAGGTGTGGTTTTAGACCAAATAGAAAGGATACATTTGGAAACTGCTTATAGAATAGGTTTAAAAGCATGTAAAAATTGCAAGTAAGTTATATACTTATATAAATATAATGTACATAAATATATTTTTAAATATTTTAAAAATAAATATATAATTTGTTTTCAGACGTAACTGCACAAACAATCCACAGTGCTTGACTGGATTAGGAGAAGAAAAATATATGAAGTCACAACCTGCTGAAGTAATGCCTTTAGAAAGTTCTTTATCTGAGTTACGCGATCCTACACAATATGTTGGTCTAAAGAATTTAGGTGCAACCTGTTATGTTAATAGCTTAATTCAAATGTGGTTTCATAATGAAGATATGAGGTATGCATTTTTATAAATATCAATTTATTTTATATTTAATTTTTTTGCAACTATAAAATGAAATTTGATATTTTTAGGAGAATAATATACAAGTGGAATATCACAGATGATCCAGAGGAAAAGGAAGCACTATGTCAAGCTAAGAAGGCAGGAGTACCATTTCATCCAGTGACAGCAGTTGGACAGTTGCAATATATATTTGCAATGATGCAATTTGGAAATCGTCGTCTACTCGATCCAATGAACCTTGCAATCGCGTTGTCATTGGATACTAGAACTCAGCAGGATGCACAGGAATTCTCCAAGCTGCTTCTCTGCCATATCGAAGGGAAACTTCAACAAAACTCAGAACTGAAGCAGATGCTGCAGAGGCTGACCCAAGGAAAATACAGCTATATCAATTGGTGGGTTTTCTGAAGTGGAAAACAAATGAGAATTGTCCTAAACGATGATGATGCTGATGATCTTGACGATGAGAACATGGTAGGACACGTTGCTCGCTGCGATGACTGGTGCGATCAACTGATCTGACCGAGAGAAGTTATTTCTTTCTAAATAACGCGAGTTTTATGTTTGGCGCAGTTGCTCGAAATGCGGAACTGAATATCCGACGTCCACAACGTTCTACGAATTGGATCTACAACTTGCAGCCACTTTGAAAGAGGCAATAGAGAAATACTTGTCTGTGGAACAGTTGACTGGAGCAAATCAGTATCACTGCGTTACCTGCAATGACAAAAAAGATGCGCGCCGTTTTATACGCTTGGAATCTCTTCCAGAAACATTAAATATACAGTTAATGCGTTTTGTGTTTCATAGGTACTTTTATTTTATAATGTTTATGTTATATTATTAAATTATTATATTATGTTAATAAATTATTTTATAATTTATCTTTGTTAGAGATTCTGGGCAGAAAAGAAAGTTGAATTCTTTTATACAGTTTCCCGAAGATCTTGATATGTCAGAATATGTGAGGTGTCCGCTACAAACTCATTTGTACAGTCTTGTAGCAGTTTTGAGTCATAAAGGACCATCTGCACATTCGGGTCATTATATTGCAAATATATGCAATTCAAATGGAGAATGGTATCAATTTAGTGATGATAAAGTAGAAAAAATGCAGAATAAAAGAATTGAGGATGGAGTTAATGGTAAATATAAATTTCTGTAATATAATGAACAAATATTTTATATTTTTATTTTATATTATTTTATATTTTATAATTTTATGTTTTATATTTTTTATATTTTATAATATTTTATTTGATAAAATAATATAAAGTTTGAATTGTTTATTACAGAGAATTCAAAAATCATAAAACGAGGTCGTATACCGAAAGGATTTTTATCTTCTAACACTGCATACATGTTAGTTTATAAAAAAGTTACTTCTGAAAAACGAATAAATAATACAAAAAAAAATAAATTAAAAAAATTAGATACAGAAACTAATAGCAATTGTAACACAGTGCATGAAGAAAACATCGTGATAGTTAAAGAAAAATCAGTTTCATTAGATGAAGAAAAATGTAAATATGATACAATTTCGGATGTGAATAATTCTGAGAAAATGTTAAAGCTTGGAATAGAAACTAAACAGGAAATGGAAATTTCGAAAGTATCCTCAGAAAATATTGTAATGGAAGTATCTGTAAGAGAGGAATCTACTTTTGATGAACAAAATGGCAAACATTACGAATTCGATAATAAAGAAAATCAGCACGATATATTTATTAAAAAATCATTAGCCAAAGTTGTAAAGATAGACTATAAACGTTTAAACGGTGCCGCACATAGAGCTATGAGTTGTGGAGAACGTGACTTTTACGAAGAGGTCGGTATATTGAATTGTTTTTTTTAATGATATTTATATAAAAATATTTTGTTATTTAACAGATGGAATTTGAAAATTGGGAAGTGAGTCCAACATTGCGTGATTTAGTGAGACAAGAAAATGTAAAACATGAATTGAGTTTATTGGCAACTCAACAAGAAAAGGTATATATTATAAATAAAGATTATAAAAAAAGATTAGAATTAAATAATTGAATAAGAAATATTTTTTTATTGTTAACAATATTTTTTTATAGCAAAAGGAGATTGAAGATCAGAATTTAAAAAGACAACTTGTCATAGATGTATATAATATTATTTCGAATGTAATTTCATGGGAGAAATATCAATGGATTCCAAATGATTGGTTATCAAAATGGCTAAATGGACATTCATTCATCGATGGAGTACCACCAATAGATAATTCTACATTGATGTGTACACATTATCGACTTGATCCTTTAAAAGTGAATCGGGCAAAATGTATTCCTGTAGCTGCTGCAGATATACTTTATGATAAATATCGTGGTGGACCACGTTTGGATGAAAACTCTTTTTGCGAAGTTTGTGTGAAACGTCGATATAAACTACTTCGTTTCAAGATATCACTTGAACGTGATTACAAGGAAGTTAGTGAACTCATTCGCAATTTTAAAGAACCGTAAGTTTCCTAATTATATTAATTATAATTTAAACCAATAAATCATTTTATAAAATAAAATAAATTTTACTTTGATGATAACAGATTCGAGACTAGTTATGTTGTGGGTGCTGATTCATTGAGATCGTGGCGAAGACTTGCAATGGAAAAATTTATGGACGATATGGAACAAGAAATTGAGGATGAAGATTGTCAAGATCCGAATAGTATTCAAGAAGATAGGAAAAGTGAAAGCAAGGAAAGTGAACGAATAAAGGAATCAGGAGAGGGAGAAGAGAACGAAGTTATAATTTATTTTAATGAAGATTTACTTTGTGAGCATGGTTCATTGAAAACACCAGACTCAACAAGAAAAATAGTACCCCGCGAAGCTTGGATGATACTTCGAAAATACTTTCCAGAATCTAAGGAGTATCCTATTGGTTCTAGCTCATGTTCCATTTGTGAGGTATTTTTTCGGAATTATATTTGAAATAAAAATGAAATTATTTTATAATTTAATATCGAGGTATTTTTTCGTTAAGGAAAAAATGGAAAATGCACAGAAGGCAAAAAAAGATGATAAAATAAAAGCCAAACAACAAAAGGACGAGTTAAATGATTTATATCATGGTAGAAATAGGAATGAAATATTAAAATGTGAAGAGCCAGAAAAAGCATTTTATATCGTGGAGAAGGGATTTTTGGACAGTTGGCGTTCTTTCCTTCGGTGAGTTTATTGTATATTTTTTTATACTTTTCAATAATATATAATATAATATATACATATAATATAATTATTAAAAACAAATAGAAATAAGTTATTTCTATTTATTTTTAATAATTATAATCATAAGCAATAGATAATAAAATTTCATTAAAATGTCTATTAAAAATAGATAATTTTTTAAATTTAAAATTTCCGCCAAATTACACATCGAATTATTTCAATAAAACGCCTGCAGATGGTACTAGTAGGTCTTTAAGTATTCTAAAGAGATATTCTTATTCTAATTTTTTTATTTTTAATTGTAGATTTTATTAATAAATTATTTAATATGATTGCAAATATTATTTATTTATTGTTGCTTTTATTTTGTAATCATATTTTTTATTAATTTTTAATGAAAAATTTTATATTACATTATATTTTATAGTGATTTTTAAAGCGCGAATTGACATTTCGTAATTTCTATCAAGAATTTTATATTTGATTAAGAATATTAACATCTTTTATAATTTATTAAATTGGTGAGTAATTTAAAATAATCTTTTAAAATAATTTTTATCATTTGTGACTAAAATTTTTATACAATAAAAATAAACGTATATATATGTTTAAAATTAGATACATTTGTGTTATTTTGTGTATAGATATTTTTTATAAATTATATAGCGTATAAAAAAACGTTAATAGTTAACTAAAAATTTTTCACTTAAAGATAAAATTTTTTATTATTACTAGCAAAAAATAAGTTCCACAAAAACACATTCCACATGTTTTCCACAAATCTGAGTATAACCAATAATATTTTCATTCAGTTTCTTTTTGTTTACAAGCAAATATAAAAAATAGGAATAAAAAGATAGAATATATTTTTAATTAATCTCAACAATCACAACATGAAATTAATATTCACTTCTCAAATTTATATTTCTTCCTCAAAATCATATTTGAAGAAAATCTTTTTAATTTTATATCATTTCAAATCAAGAAGATACATGTTCTTGAATCTTAGAAGATCCAAGTATATACTTTACAACATGATAGGAGAAATCATTTCACGTAGAAGGGAACAAAAAGGAGAAAGAAATATATACTTTACAACATGATAGGAGAAATCATTTCACATAGAAGGGAACAAACGGAAAGGAGAAAGAAAGAGGGTGAAAAGAGATAGTAGGGGACGCATTAACGAGCTTTTCCTAATTATGAGAAAAAACTGGACTGTACGATTAAGGGCTGTGCTGCTCCTTCCCTCATACTCGTGCGTGGATGGTGGGCCAGGAGAGCAACGTGGAAAACTAATTGAAACCGCCTAACGACTCGCCGGCAAATGATACATCAGCCTTGAGGAAACTCGCCCTACTGTCTTAATACCGTTTCGCCTTATTCGATGTTCATCGGTCATCGAGCAATTTCGTCTTTTTCTTTTCCTTTTCTGCCTCATTTTTGGCAACGATATTCGAACGATATTCCCTTAAGCTGGATTTAGGCTTCGTATATTAATTATTGTTTTAGATTCTCGATACAATTTTCGTTGTCCATACAGTAAATTTGTTTTTATAAATTTTCAATTTAAATCTCTTATAAAATAATTATAACATGGATATAATATCACGATAAGATATTTATTATCAGTGTGTTATTAATTTTGCTGATGAAGATAAAAACAATATTGGCAAATGGTTGAAATATCATTTGATATTCGAAAAGAATATAATTTACATTTTGATCAGAAAGATTTAAACCTCAAGTTTTTAATTTATAAATTTAGCCTTGTTTGCTTTTTATTGTAATATTTTGTTTGCCAAACTATTCCTCCATCAGAATAAGAAATGATAAATAATCCTATTTTTTAATATTTCCAATGAGATGAATATCAATTTCTAGAAGGGCTCTTCAAAAATAATATTTAAATTCTTCAATCGTTGGATATCCATCCAACCTCTCATCCATTTTCGTATAATTTAGATTTTTCTCGAAAGAAAATTTCGTTGTTCATACAATGTAAAATAATAATCTCTCGAATTGTTCGCTCAAAGTGTCACTTTTGGTCAGGATGAAATTAAGTCTGGTCCAAAATTGGGGTTAAATCTTTTCTGACACCGATGGAGAGAGAAAGAGAGAGAGAGAGAGAGAGAGAGAGAGAGAGAGAGAGAGAGAGAGAGAGAGAGAAAAAAAAAGCTTTTAATGTTTGGACGGATGTTACACGCGCGTGGGATGATTACACGTATGCTTTCTCTCGGATGCTCAAGATTGACGGATTCAAATTTGCCTGGGCTTAAGTCCACCGGGTTCCACCGGGTTTACGGACAGCCGGCTAAACTGGGATCAACCCTTTGCGCGGATTACAACGTGTGTCATGTCACGCTTGATTTCGGTACAGGCGAAAGGGGTGTGAAAACGAGGAACAAGTGGCCGTCCCTCCTCTTTACCGTGTATTTAAAATAGCACAAGAGACGAGGGCTAATTAACCGCTCATAAAAAAGGATCGCAACGCGATTATCGATGCGATTAAATTTTAATAAGGCTTGATTATTAAATAGCCTCTCAATCACGCGGCATTCCTTTCTCTTCGATTTTTTCGAATCGGTATAAAATCTCGGGAAAGGATACAACATATACACGTTCGAAAATTTACGTTTCTCGTAAAAAGAAAGAAAATCGAATCCCTCGGCGAAACCAAATTTTCGCGAAATTTTAATATCGATTAATTCCACCTTATTCTTCCGCAAAAAACGATTGAAACGATGACAACAATTCGAAGAATGCCGGCAGAATTTTACTTGGGCATTCCACGGACGAAAATGTTGCCCCCGATAGTTTCATCAGATAGATATTTCACCCATGGCCGAGGAAGGGAAAAGGTGAAAAATATTTTTACGGACCACCGGGGAACCATTGTCTTTTCTCGATGATTAATCATTTTTTTTTTTTCCTTTTTGGTAATTATCGAGTATCCCGTGGATTCCTTCGTTCGCGCGAAAGTTTGCACATGAAAATTTATAATCCCTCTCACGAGACACAGATTTTATTTATAATCGCGCGAATATCACAAGTCTCTCCGTTTTCCATTCAAAAACGATTAAAAAAGAATCGGTGATGAGACGAGACTGCAGACTTTGTTGTTGTGGATTGATTAAATTTTCGATTCCATTATTTTCCCGCGAAAGGAAGAAAATTTCACGCGATATTCACGCGATTGGAAGTAACGAAATATTTATCTACTGGCCGAGGATGAGAATAATTTTTCTTAATCGGAAAAAAAAAAAAAGAAAGGAGAAAGATTGTTGTAAATCGCGCGTATCGAATCTTTGAAATCTTTGACTTGATCGAACATCTGCGAAAGGATACACCGTCCGGATGTTATTCATTTTTACATCATTTCATTTTATTAGCAATTAAGGAGAGGGGCCGAATTTAATCGATTTCGACGAGTGGTCTTCGTGAAAGCAGGAAGCTCTCCGCGTCTCGGGGAAAACAAATGGTGTCGCGGATTGCAATCTGTTCGACTCGCCTCCGAACAAAGTCCTCCGCCAATCCGTCAACGTCACCTGGATGGATCTGCGAAAGGATTAGGTATTTGCATAGACGATCGCTCAACTTCTATCGAGAAAGAGGGCTCCTCTCTCTCTCTCTCTCTTTCTTTCTCTCTTTCTCTCTCTTTTTCTTTTTTTTTCCATTCGTTTCAGGAACTTTCTCGCGACGGGATGAATCCTGCTAAGCGGAAATATTATTTCTTTCTTGGGGAAATTGGAAATTGTCCCAATTAGCTTGGGATCACTGTATCAAATTTTCCACTTTCCGAAACGAATGTCGTCGACGAACAATTTTTTTCACGAGCTTTGAAAAATTCGAAAATTTAACGATCGAAATATTTTCGAAATTAGATTCGCAAGAAAGAAACAGGGATCAACTGTTTCTCACGATCGAAAGAAAATACTCTAAATTGACGAAACACGGCGAAGAAATAAATTATTATCGATAAAAAATTTTTTTCACGAGCTTTAAAAGATCGATTTTAACGATCGAAATATTTTCGAAAACAATTAGATTCGCAAAAAAGAAACAGGAATCATTTTTTTCTCACGATCGAAAGAAAATATTCGAAAATCGAGGGAAACACGGCGGAGGAATAAAGTATCGATGAAAAATTTTTTTCACGAGCTTTAAAAGATCGATTTTAACGATCGAAATATTTTCGAAAACAATTAGATTCGCAAGAAAGAAACAGGGATCAATTATTTCTCACGATCGAAAGAAAATACTCTAAATTGAGGAAACACGGCGAAGAAATAAATTATCGATAAAAAATTTTTTTCACGAGCTTTAAAAGATCGATTTTAACGATCGAAATATTTTCGAAAACAATTAGATTCGCAAGAAAGAAACAGGAATCAATTCTTTCTCACGATCGAAAGAAAATATTCGAAAATCGAGGGAAACACGGCGGAGGAATAAAGTATCGATAAAAAATTTTTTTCACGAGCTTTAAAAGATCGATTTTAAGGGATCAATTATTTCTCACGATCGAAAGAAAATACTTGGAAAATCGAGGGAAACACGGCGGAGGAATAAAGTATCGATAAAGAATGATTTGAATCAAGACATCTTGAAAATGATAGTGAAAAAGAGGTCTCGAGACTTGAGCTCCGTTAAATAATTATTAATGATGATCGTGGCGAAAGCTGTGGTGGCTGTGTTGACACTGCATTGTAAGCCTCAGACAATGGTCCGCGGTGGCTTTCTGAAGCGTGTTGCCTATGGTCTCTGGATGGAGGAGATGGCGGCGGCGGAGGGCAGGGTCCGTAATTAATAACTTGGAATTGATTAAGGTGTCAGATAAGTCCATGGAGTCGCTCGTTCCCTTCTCCTCTCGCTCTCGCCTCTCTTTCCTCATCGGCGCGACGCGTTACGATATGATTAATAATTTCGAGATAACGCCACGCTCGTCCCTTTGCATCGTTGTCCCTTCACGAGAGCGAGGCCGATTCCCACTTACGGTC